GCTCCCCTCGTCGACCGCTGCTCACTTGTCAGGTCGACGGACTGCTCCGGATACCTCCCGGTCGAGCGGCAGGTCGACGGGATGCTCCGGAGACCTCCCGGTCGAGCTGCAGGTCCTGGTCGACGTCCCACCCATCGCGAAGACCAGTCATTTGCAGCTGTCAAGCTCCTTGGTTGACAACAACACCACAGCGGTCCCCTGCAGCTCGACGAAGCATGTCGAGCAGGTCTCCCACTGTGAACCGTCGGCTGCTACTCCCGTACATCCGACCAAGTCGTCGGCGTTGCCCAAGCGAGGGCGGGGCCAACACTCCTGTTAACACTCCAAGCCAACCATTAATCAACAGCTTTGTGGTCGTTCCCTCGTGCAGGCCCTTCACCCAGCCAACAAGCCGTTTCGGGAAACCCGCCCTCACTTGGGCGCAGGCATTCTCAGCGACGACGTGGTGAATTCGATGAAGTGATCGTCGCATTGGATCAGCCCGTCCTTTGAAACCGCTGGTGATCTTCGAGGAGGTTGTCCTCTGATTCACCAGCTCATGAACGAGCTCTGGTCGACGGGGTGCTGTTCGACAAGCTCGTCTTCTGATCTACTTCTAGATCGCGCGATCTCTGACGGTCGGGGTGCTTTCCGAGGAGCCGCGTTTTCTGACCGAAGGGCGCTGTTCGGCGAGTCTCATCTTGGTGAACTGGCTGGCCGAATTCGCGCGACTGCGAAACTCTGCAAGGGCATGCGGAATTAGCTCAGGAGGCTCTTAGTGAAATCCGACCTGCGAAATGGCATCACGTGCTCGACGGTGGACACCTGACGAAACCATCGAAGCGTTTTCTACCTGGCACCTGCGCAATGTCTCTAACGGTGCAACTGTCTACCTGCACCTACTCGGCAGGTGCACACCTGCGCAGATATTTACCTGTGAATGCAGCGCTGGCAGGCCGCCCTGTTGCAGCGCTGGCATGTCGCCCTTTTGCTCCACTTGCAGACCGCTCTGTTTCAGCGTTGGCGAACCGCTCTGATGTAGTGCTGGCCATTCGCCTTGCAGAATTCTTGCTAGGGATTGCAATGCCATTCCAGTGGTATCACTTGCATGCTTTTCTTTGTACTCTAATTTTCAATTTTCAATGTTCTTTCAATTTCCTTAGTGGAAACTCTTGCCAAATTTCTCAGTGGTCACAGCAAGTAGTAAGAACTCTGATAGAACGCTACTAGAGCGCTACGATCACCCACACAACTCCGTGCTCTCCTTCGTAGTCCACTCCCATTGTAGGGTGACTCTCCGCACTCCTTATCTCCCTTGTGCAGCAGAATTGTCACAGCTTCCTTGAGCTCAGCCGGCAAAGAAGCAGTGTTATGAAAACTCCTTGCCATAACCATGAAACTTTCCCCCAGCAGGTCCCAGTGTGCCTCGAACAGCTCCTTCGACAGGCCATCACTGCCAGGGGATTTGTTCCTCGCCATCGCCGTAAAAGCTTTCTTAACCTCTTGCTCTGTCCAGTCCGTTGTTAGTGTTCAGCCAATCCCACATCCAGGCGGCGAGCCAGGTCGAAACTCCACTCCGCACCCTCGACCCGACGGTCCTTTCCGAAAATGCTCCTGAAGTATCGTGCCGCCGCTGCCCGAATCTCCTTGGAACCAATGATCGACACCGTGCCGTCCTTCACCTTCGAAATTTGTGTTCGAACCTTCTGCGCCTGCACCTTCGCCGAAAGATTCTTCGAGGCGATTTCTCTTTTCATCTCCGCCGTAGAACCCGCCTGAAGGTGCAGCCGCTCCTTAGGGGGTGTCCAGCTCGTTCATTTACTGTTCGTAAAGCCCTTTAGTTACCACAATTTGCGTTGTAACACTGAGTTTTACAGAAATGCCAGACACGATCAGCTCCCGTTCACGATACGGCACACCCCCTGCACGTACCTCGAATCGTGTGACGCACATTACAGGAATCAGCGTGCACATCCAACAATGGTACAGAACCGCGTCCTGCCCACTACAGTGAGTACCCATCGTATCGCGCGCTTGATTTCGCATGTGCCGCCTGATACTCGCCAAAACCTATAGTGGAAGTGTTGGCCTGGCGAAAATTCTAACGCTTTGGTTGACGAGGGAACTGGTTACCTTGGTTGCCACACGGCCCCTGCACTGTTGAAGTCTGTGTGGGGGGATGGTGTCCGCGCGCCAGCATGACAGAAAGGGTGGACTCGAGCAAGGCACGTTCGTTTATAGGTACAGTGTTCAGTTTTGAACCCCGAATCGTGAGGAAGTACTAGATTTCCAGAAATGAACGAGCTGGACACGCCCTTAGACGCCTGATACATTTTCAGCTGCCCTCCACCTTCAACAACTCCTGTCGGCTGCGAAATGCTACACCACATCGGGAGAGGCGGGACAGGCGAACTCTGGTTATTTTCTGACATTGCTGAGTTGTCGTGACTGTAATTGCCGAAAAGCTGGGGTCATATCGCGAACGCCAGCGTCCATGCGACCTCCTTCGTACCCATGGATGCGAATCTCACCAAGCCATGACGAACACCCTCAATGCTTGACCCGCAGTGAAGTGAGCGCGCTCCGCCAACGCTGTGTTGGCGGTGCGATTTGCCAGCGCTGTGCTGGTTGGAGCGATGTTTCTGCAGCAATTTCTCCCTCTTCCTTCCCTTCTCCTGTCCTCCTCACCCAGGATGAACCACAACCACACCGACCTTTCTCACTACCAGCCTACCACCACACCACCTCCACCCCTTCCAAGCGGTCCCTAGCATCGGTTCCACAGCCCTCTTCCACCGGCGGCAGCCTCCCTTATTTCTCCTCTCAGCAGCAAATTTCTACTAGGCTTCACAATTACAATACGATTATGCCTTTTTCTTTCTTCCAGTTTCATTGAGGGTTCTATAAACCGTCCTAGTAGTAGTTCCATTGCTCTAGTAGCCGGTGACTGCACGCGGTCTGCTAACATATTTCGTAACCATGAGTCGCTTAACTCTATGGATGGCGTTGGTAGCCGCCTTTCTCGTCCTTGGATGTGCAGTCACGGAAGCCAATCATGCTTCGAAACCCGCTTCGTCTTCCGAGCTTTCCGAATCCCTTCCGAATAACCGTCGCATGCTGTCGCCGACGAGTCGTCGCCTGCTGTCGCGCGACGGCGGCGGCTTCAGCGACAGCGAGATGGAGGCGATGCACGACAGCATGTGGCGCTGGCGCAACTCCATGGACCGCTCGCGCCGCAGGGGCGGAATGATGGGCGGAAGAGGCGGCGGCGGAATGATGGGCGGAAGGGGCAAGGCGGAAAAAGAATCCGCGGAAAAGGAAGCTTTCCCCGAGGGCGACTGCGGGGGAAACGGTGGCGGAGAGAAGCAGGAGGCCCCCCATTTGGAGCTGATTCGACGAAGCATGCGAGCCGTTGGATTGATTGGGGAAATTTCTGAAGATACGACGAGCGCCAGCGCCCCCACCACGAACGGCGGCAGCAGCACCTTGATGCGCTTCGGAGGAAGGCGCATGAGTTTCCCTCTCATGCATATGCATCATGGACGCATGCACGTGCCTATGATGGGTACGGGAAATCTAAATGAACACCCGATGCAGTTAAGGGCGGAAATTGAACCTCCCCAGGCTGTTCCTCTGCGCAGTTCGACTCCCTGCGCGTTCTTCTCATCCATCTGTGACTTCTTCCGCCGTGTATTTGGTGCGTCTTCTCCCAGAATCGAAATTTTCTCAAACGAGGATACCGCGGTTGGATCTAGTGGAATCAGCGCGCAGTATTCGCGGAGAATGATGCGCGGCAGAGCAGCGTTGGACACGGCATCGATAAGCGCATTTGACGCTTTTAAGAAAAGTCTCGTTAATGGCCTTATGGTGGAAAACGCTCAGGAGCATGCCATGACTGATGTGCCTGGCATGGATGAAATGATGGGGGATAGGGATGGTATGATGATGGAAGCGGATGATATGATGGAGGAAGGTGATATGATGATGAATCAAGCTGATATGATGATGCAGGGTGACAGCATTGCAACAGGCAACGGCAAGGTGATGATGCCACACGGGGATGGCATGGTTGGAAGGCAGATGGATGACAAGGAGATGGAAGACATGATGGAGGGGATGATGGGGGGGAAATAGGATGATGCTGAGAGGTGGCAATGCATAGCTATTAGTCTTCGTTATGTGTGTTTTATGAGCTCTAGCTCTGAATAGTTGTTTGATAAGCTGTAGTGTATGCTTGTTTGTAGGGAAAGATTCTGTATAATTTGTAGTGCCTGGTTCATCACTCAAATCATTCATGCGTTTAATGTAGACATGCCTATCTGCTGTTCTCTGCCTATCTACTGTGATTTAGATGACGTTCTTGCCAACTTCTGAGCAAACGCGAAAGAAAGGAGAAAATACTTTCGAGTAATGAACTGAAAATATAGTTCAGGTAAAATTTATAGAGAGTAGCAAGAGGATTAGCAGGTTCTCCGTCGCTTGTCGGGGATTTGTACATAGTCGAGCCTGAATAATAAGCGAGTACGCTCAGATTTTGAATGTCGAATTCAAATTCAAACTTCCCTTCTGATATTTCCGAGGCGCTTTCAAGCCTTCAACAAACATCTGGTAGGAGACTGGTATCCATGTGGTTTCGCGAACCTCCTTAGTGAGTCGTCAAGCCTTGTATCTCCAGAGTTTTCGCGTTTTCCGTAGTTACACACGAACTTCACGAAGTCCTCCGGTGATGACGGGCGAATAAGACGACATCTCCCCACCCTCTCTGCCAAGTCTGAAAATCAGCTCCCACCCTCTCACCACCCTTGTTGATTCGTTATTTGTGGGCTTGATCATTCAAAACTCCAGTTCCATTCCCACTTCGAGGGAGTTCTCACCATTGTTTCTTCTTTTCACAACAATCGCAGTTTGGGTCAGAATCGCAGCACAACATTTAGACATCCACGTCTTTCTGCGAGTGTTTCACTTTCCTCCTCGTTCTAAATCCGACAAAGTAAATCAGCTGCGACAACACGCACCGCAAGATGGATCACAGGCCGCCGTCGCTAGCGCATCCCAACAAACGCATCCAGCTTTTGCCACCGTCCGATGCGGCGGATGGCACCATCGTTTCGACTCCGATCCGCGATTTCGACATGGAATCGGGGATGGGCATTCTGAGAGTCAAGGGACGAGTTAAGTCTCTGGACAGTATCAGCCATGGCAGTGCCAGTGCAGCAACGAAAACTCGTAATGCTGCTGCCGAGCATTCTCGTAAGTTCGACGAGCCGCCGAATGCAGATGGCGGGAAATCGAAAGCTCTTGCAAGTATAGAAGAAGGCGAGGACCAGGCTGACGGCGAAAATGGAGTGGCGAAGAAGGAAAAGAAGAAGAAGCTTCGGTGCTCCTTCTGCGATCAAACCAGCTCGGACGAGGTGATTTTGAAGAAGCCCGCGTTGCGTCCGCAAACAATTCGGTGAAGTGCTCCGATTGCATAATCTGCCATCATGTGGCCCTTTTACTGGAATGCGGGAATCGTGTCGCTTGGCGCTGTCAGCGGCGTCCAATACGACACTACCTTCGTTTCTGTACTCGGAATTCCACTAAAAGCATCTTTGTCTCTTTTTTCTCTTTCTCTCTCTTCCTTCCTATGCGTCAGTCGACCGGGGCTTTGGTGGCGGTGGACGAAAAGGGCGTGGCTTTCGAGCTCGCGGGCGATCTGAGTCCTAATGAGATATGCGTCCACGAGGATTGCCTTCTCTGGTGAGCTCAGGGTATTGTAACGAGGATAACCGCATGATATATTAGTCGTAACGAGAGATGCGTCCACGAGGATTGCCTTCTCTGGTGAGTTCAGACGCTTATATTGAGGACAATTAAATAAAATCTGAGTCGCGACGAGATATGAGGTCGTCGTTGGGAACAAGGTCCGTGAACACTCGGAGCGTTTTATGAAATGAAAGTGCCAGTACTAAGAACGTTGTAAGGCTCTCGCTCCCTGTTGTTACTCCCTAAGGGACCGACGCATCAGCGCCTCAAGGACCGATTTCTGAACGTGCAGAGGGAGCTGCGCCAATTGCGTAAGCTACCTCCTTCGTGCTCTCGTCACTCCCGCGCCCTTTGCTCCGCCACTTTCCCCCGCAGGTCCCCCGAGGTGCATTTCACCAAGGGGCGATTCGTGAACGTGCAGAAGGAGCTGCGCCGATCGGGGGGCTCACTTCCCCACCACCCTCCTCCCCACACATCATCCCCCTTTCGCTCGTTTCCGATCCCTTGTTCTCCGCGTCTCCCCTTGCGCAGGTCCCCCGAGGTGCATTTCACCAAGGGTCGTTTTATGAACGTGCATAAGGAGCTGCGGCGGTCGGGAGGGCTCTATTGCACCGTGTGCGGCGGGCGCGGCGCGGCGCTGGGTTGCCGCGTCCCCGCGTGCCGCCACACGTACCACGTGCCGTGCGCGCGACGCACTCCTGGCTGCCACTTCGATGACGTAAGTTCTCCACGTGCCTCACTGCTCTAAGCACGTTTAAGTAAGTGGACCTTTGAAATCACACCCTTTATAAGCACATCCTCTGTATTTACTCAAAGTACACTCACGCGCTCTCCTGCCCGCAACCACCGCCTGTGGGCATCGAAGCGAAGAAACTGAAACACGAGCCAAAGTCTGACGACAAGCATTCATCTCACCCTATGTGCACACCCTCTGTACGCACAATCTTTATGCGCACCCCACCAGGACGCATACGTGCTCTCCTGCCCGCAACACCCGCCCGTGGGCGCCAAACCGAAAAAGCTCAAGCGCAAGCAGCCTTCCCCCCCGGCGGCGCCGGCGCATGCGGACGATTCGGACGACGAGGAGGATGCAGGGAACGCGCAGGACGCGCGGCGGGGGAAGGAGGACGCCCGCGCGCCCCCCGTTGCGGGGAAGAACCAGAGGCGTGCGCGGACTGGCGCAGGGGGGAGGGGCGCGGGGGCGGGGGGGAGAAAGACTTCCGCGCAAGGAGCGGCTACAGTGGCGCCCGAGGTTCCTGTAACGAAAGATGTGACTGGCGCTGTCAAGGACGTCACTATGAAGGATGTGACTACAAAGGCGGTAGCGGCCGTGAAAAGCAAAGAAGAGGATGCGGCACGAGCGGGGAAAGCATCAGCTCCTATAGCCAAGGTTCCTGTGACAAAGAATGTGACTATGAAGGGCGTGACTCTGAAGGATGAAGCTGCAGGGGGCAAGAAGACTGAAGAGAGCATGGCACGTGTGGGCAAGGAGTGCAGATCGGTGGAGCGAGGTAAGTTCCCCGTCGATAGGGAGTTTGAAGGGATGTGAGTACACTGATGTGACTTATCAAGATTTCACGTGATTTTTTTTTTTTTTTTTTTTTTAATACTACTAAATACAGGTCGCGTTACTCACAATATTGTGCTTTGTAACTTCCAAAACTTGCAGGCTTGTCTCCTGCGAAATCTTCAGAGAAAATGCCTGTGGAAGCTCTGACCAAAGGTGCTACTGCAACTGATGCTGGTGCCAGTGCCGTTGCTGCAACTGGTGCTGGTGATGCCACTGCCGCTGCTACCGCTACTGCCGCCACTGCCGCCGCCGCTGCCTCTTCTGTCAAGGTTACTCCGGGAACAGATGCAGCGAGAGATGTGACAATAACGAGCACTGCAAAGAAGGACAAGGGCAAGGGAGTGGAGGAGGGGGACAGCGAGCAGGAGACAGAGAGGGGCGTGAGCTTTGCAGCAGCAAACGCACTGGCTCCTTGTAGTAGCAGCAAGAAAGGGCAACCCTGTCCTAATGATTCATCCCCCAAGCCTTCCGGTAGCGTCGCTTCTGTTTCTCTTGCTGATGATGCTTCGGCAAAGCTGATGGCACAGGCTCGGGTGACTAAAGCGGATAGCGGTGCAGTCTTTAAGGTGCCTCAACCGGTGGTTAAGGTGCCTCAGGCTGGTGCCTCAGTGGCCCATGCGGTAGTTAAACCGCCTTTGGATCGGCTGGCTAAGGGTGAGGGGAAGGAGGGTGAGAAGGAAAGGAAGGGAGAGGGAGATAAGGGAGATGAGGGAGAGGGAAGCAAGGAGGTGGAGGGAGGAGAAGGTTCTCTTCTTAGACGGAATGAAGGAGCACCGACAACGCAAGAGAGAGGAAAGGAGAAGGAAAAGAAGCAAGATATGGGTGCTGGTGTTGCTGGTGCTTCTGCCGCTGCTGCTGCTGAGGGTGGTTCAACTTCTGCTTTGAGTGGCGGTGGTGTTACTGCTGTTGCTGCTGCTGCTGCTGCAGCGGCTGCTGCTGAAGTGGCTGTGACAATGGGAGCAAGGAAATCAGCCTCAGTGGCAGCAGATGGCGCCTCTTGCTCCAGGAACAGCGGCAAGCCTCCCAGGTATGGGTATGGGTTAATGCTTTGAGGTGCATCCGAACTGGGCTAGGCATGGGATGGTGTGGTAAGCTGCATGGTGGTGTGCTGGCATGGATGGGTGGTATGCCTCTTGCTCTAGGAACAGCGGCAAGCCTTTCAGGTAAAGGGTATGGGATAGATTCAGGGCAAGTTGCACTCAGAATTGCAGATTCGTCGTAGTTTTCTCCTGTTCCTATCCCTCTGCGACCTCTGTGTCCTCCTGGGGCTCAGCTTTAATTTCTGCACTGCATATTACTAGTAGCTTCCCGATCAACCCCCCTCCCGTTATTTATTCCTTTTTCTCTGGTTCTCTGCTTCTCCCGTCTGCAGCCAGTGGGTTCTGTGCGGGTCAGCCCTTGATTCAGCGTCCAAGGTGAGAGATCTACCGCTTACAGCCACATGTACTGTGCTGTGACCGCATGTGCCGTGACTGCATGTGATGTGACTGCATGTGATGTGACTGCATGCGATGTGACAATACACCAATTTGTGGCACTTGGGTTCTGTGTGGGTCAGCCCTTGATTCAGCGTCCAAGGTGAGAGATTCACAGGTTACAGCCACGTACGCTGTTATGTGACTCCATGGGATGTTGCTGTATAGGATGTGACTGTACGTGGAGTGGCAGATGACTTGACTTGCATATGATTTGACTTTATACGATTTGACTGCATACGATTTGACTGCATACGATTTGACTGCATACGATTTGACTGCATACGATTTGACTGCATATGATTTGACTGCAAACAATTTGACTGCAAACGATTTGACTGCATGTGATTTGACTGCGTGTGATGGGTCTGCGTGTGGTGTTACGATAATCCAATATGTGACTGAAGTTGTGAGTAGCCTGATCACTAATCGCATTTCTAGTCTCAACAACAGTCCCCCTTTACTGCACAAACCATCTTCCGCCACTCTCTCCCCACTTACCCCCCCCACCACCACCCCTCTATCTTTTCCCTCTCCCTCCTCTCCCCTTCCCCCTCTCCCCCAAATCCCCCCCAACTCTCCCCCACTCTCCCTCCCCCTCCCATAGGCCCGCCTAGTCAAATTCGCTGACGCAATGGGCGCACAGCTGACGTCAGACTGGAGTCCACGTGTCACCCACTTATTGGTCGGCACAGATTCCGAGGGGAAGGCACGGAGGACGCTCAAGATGGTGATGGCTATCCTGCACGGGCAGTGGGTGCTTAGCAGCAAGTGTGAGTGTTTTGTTGTGTTTGGCAACAAATGCTTCGTTAAGCAGCAAGTGTGAGTGTTTTGTTGTGCTTGGCAACAAATGCTTCGTTTAGCAGCAAGTGTAACTGTTTTGTTGTGTTTGGAAACAAATGCTTCGTTTAGCAGCAAGTGTAACTGTTGCATGCAACCTTCACCCATGCCCCACCCATGCCCCCACCCATGCCCCCACCTATGCCATCCTCCCCCACAGCCATCTCCCCAACCGCTGTGCCTGCTGAGGGTCCACTTGAGTTGCTCTGTGACTAGATGACTTTTGAATCGACTCAAAACCCAACCGCTGTGCCGGCTGAGGGTCCATTTGAGTTGCTCTGTGACTAGAGAATCAGGAAAGAACCACCCTTAGCTTTCTCTCTTTCCTCCTCGTTGCGCCCCCTCTCCCCTCCCACAACAGGGTTGCCATCCTCCCCCACCGCCGCTTCCCTGGCCTCCCTGCCTGCTGAGGGACCATTTGAGGTACTCTGTGACTCGCACGACGAGTCTGGTGGGGCTACACGCGGCAGGCTGCACTATGCGGTGAGTGCACGGCTGTAGCACGGAGCATGATTATTGCAAGGCTGGCAGTAGGTGCTGTAGCAGTGCGAGTCTGAAGGCATATGAGGTACTCTGTGACTCGCACGACGAGTCTGGCGGGGCTACACGCGGCAGGCTGCACTATGCGGTGAGTGCACGGCTGTAGCACACATAGAGTGTGGCTGTAGCATATTTGAAAGCATGTGAGGTGCTCTGTGACTCGCACGACGAGTCTGGCGGGGCTACACGCGGCAGGCTGCACTATGCGGTGAGTGCACGGCTGTAGCACACATAGAGTGTGGCTGTAGCATATTTGAAAGCATGTGAGGTGCTCTGTGACTCGCACGACGAGTCTGGCGGGGCTACACGCGGCAGGCTGCACTATGCGGTGAGTGCACGGCTGTAGCACACATAGAGTGTGGCTGTAGCATATTTGAAAGCATGTGAGGTGCTCTGTGACTCGCACGACGAGTCTGGCGGGGCTACACGCGGCAGGCTGCACTATGCGGTGAGTGCAGAGGACTGCTGTAGCACACATAGAGTGGCTGTAGCACCGCTGTAGCACGGCTGTAGCACGCCTGAATCAAGGATGGGCGGTAGCAGGATGGTTTATCTCTCCCCTATCCCATGCCTCCCTATCAGCCCATGGCCAAGGGTCATTCCTCGCCGCCTCCCCTCTTCACCAACATCACGGCGGTGTTTCTTTGGGGAAGCTTTTTCATTCCTCTCTTCTCCCCTCCATCTCCTCCCCTCCCATGCCGCCCATTCAGCCCATGGCCAAGGGTCAATTCCTCGCTGCCTCCCCTCTTCACCAATATCGCAGCCAGTGTTTTCGGAAGGCTCATTCGTCATCCCTTCTCTAGCTTCCCTTCCCATTCCTCTTGTCTCCCTGTTTTCCCCATGGCCAAGGGTCATACCTCTCCTCCCCTTGTGTGATGAGTAGACTCAAAAATCGACGCATCACACGCGTTGCAACAGCACCCCATGGCCAAGGGTCATACCTCTCTTCCTCTCTTTGCCAACATCATGGTGGTGGTTCTTCAGGGCAGCTTTCTCACTCCTCTTTTGAGTCAACTCAAAGGAGACTTTTGAGTCAACTCAAAGGAGACTTTTGAGTCAACTCAAAGGAGACTTTTGAGTCGAATCAAAGGAGACTTTTGAGTCGAATCAAAGGAGACTTTTGAGTCGAATCAAAGGAGACTTTTGAGTCGACTCTAAAGTCACCTCTCCTCCTCTCTTTGCCAACATCACGGTGGTGTTTCTTCAGGGCAGCTTTCTCACTCTCTTCTCCCCTCCATCTTCTCCCCTCCATCTTCTCCCCTCCATCTTCTCCCCTCCATCTTCTCCCCTCCATCTTCTCCCCTCCTCTCTTCTCCCCTCCATCTTCTCCCCTCCATCTTCTCCCCTCCATCTTCTCCCCTCCATCTTCTCCCCTCCATCTTCTCCCCTCCATCTTCTCGAACGCGGCACTCAGCCCTTCTCTCCTCCCCTTCGCTCCTCTTCCTTTCTCTCTCCTTCCGTCCCCGCTTCTCCCCTTCCATGTCTCCCATTCAGCCCATGGCCAAGGGTCATCCCTCGCCGCCCCCCCTCTTCGCCAGCATCACAGCGGTCTTTCTTGAGGGCGGCTTCCTCAGCCCTTCTCTCTCCTCTCCTCTCCCCTCTTCTCTCCTCCCCTCCCATGCCTCCCTATCAGCCCATCGGTAAAGGCCATCCCTTGCCGCCTCCCCTCTTCGCCAGCATCACAGCGGTCTTTCTTGAGGGTGGCTTCCTCAGCCCTTCCTTTGCTGACGTGGCAAGCATCCTCCAGGTGGGATTCGCTACAGGTAGCTTTGCCATCTCGCTATAATATTCCTCTGCAACCCTTTCTGTTCCTCTCAATCAGTTTTTTGAGAATTCTAAAAAAAAAAAAAACAGATTCCACCATATCATCTGTAACCCTTACCCATACAAATCTCCCCAAAAACCCCATTTGTGTTACCACCCCTCAATCCCCTATTTTCCTTTCTTCCCTTCCCAGTGCGGTGGCGGCACCGTCATTCCAAGCAGCGCCTTACAGTCCCCCACAGCCAAGACCCTTCTTGCTGCCTTCTCCAACCCCTCCAACACAACAAACAGCACCACCATTGCCGCCGAAAAAAGGAGAGGAGAGGAAGGGGAGACGAAAATACTCTTGGTGGTGTATGCAGATGTGCCTGCAAACACACCCAGTGGCTCGGGTAAGATGCGGCGGGAACTGGCGCTGGTGGAGAAGCGGAGGGAAGCTGCTGGGCAAGTGGGGAAGGAGGTGGGGGCTCGTGGCTGTGTGACGCATAACTGGATCATTGATTCGGCTGCTGCGTTTGAGCTGAAACCATTCTGATGTGCCTGCAAGCACTCCCTGTGGATCGGGTAAGATGCGGCGGGAACTGGCGCTGGTGGAGAAGCGGAGGGAAGCTGCTGGGCAACTGGGGAAGGAGGTGGGGGCTCGTGCCTGTGTGACGCACAACTGGATCATAGACTCGGCTGCTGCGTTTGAGCTGAAACCATTCTGATGTGCCTGCAAGCACTCCCGGTGGGTTGGGTAAGATGCTGCGGAAACTGGCTCTGGTGGAGAGGCGGGGGGGGGGGGCTGCTGGGCTATTGGCGAAGGAGGTGGGGGCTCGTGCCTGTGTGACGCATAACTGGATCATTGACTAGGCTGCTGGGTTTGAGCTGAAATCATTCTAGAGCGTACCTAGTTGGTTCTTCAGAAATGTGGCAAAGGCTCGTACATGTCTGACGCATAACTGGATCATTGACTAGGCTGCTGGGTTTGAGCTCAAGGCGCTCTTGTAGAGTGCTTGGTGCTTGAGTGTACTAGGTAGGCCTCGAGAGGCTTGGGGAAGAAGGTGGGGGCTCGTTCCTGTCTGACTCACAACTGGAACATTGACTCTGCTGCTCACAACCACCTAGTTTCTAGTGCTTGTGTGACACACCATCGGATGATTCACGTGTTTCATCCGTAAGGCACAGTGGAGTAGAGGCTTCATTTTGCTTCTACTGTGTCTACACATCAGTGTTTCACAAGTGCCAGTGTGTGTGACGCTCAATTGGATTATTGATTCGGATGCTGCGTTGAATGTATTAGACTCCGTAGGGGCTTACGCTGGGTAAGTGAGAGGAGTTACCATCAGCAGCAGATCACTCGCCAACATCGTATTCTCACCAGTTTACTTCACGGAGGTTATTTCCTTCTTTACGTTTCCCTTGTATCTTCTCTCATGTTTAACATTCATAAAATATTTTACAACCCCCAACATATCATGATGTATGTACTCATGATGTATGACATATACAGTCATGTGTTGTGTAAGCGCGGTTGCTTATAATTTACAGTTGCTTGTTTCTATTTGCCGCAGCACTTGCTGCCACATCATGCGCAATTTCCATCGATGAATGCAACTCGCCCATCCCAGGTAAGATCAGGTCAACCAGTTTCAACGAGTGCTGCTGGTGGAGTTTCCACCTGCAATCCGAACTTGCTGCGCGCCGTGACCGTGACCATTGGTTGCAAATCGTGAATCGTGGCGTGATCCACTCTGCCTTCGCAGGTTGGAAAATTGCGAGGATTTGAATTCGCTAGCCATATCGTTAGAGTAACCAGATTCGCGGCGCTCGCCACGCCACCATCGCAACCCGCTGGCCTGTGGAGCAGGAGAACAGCGAAACTCACGGATTCCACCTGGCGCGAAAACACATTTCCCGCCAAGCGTGCACCCTGGTTCCTGAGAATGTTGTGCGAGCCGCGTTCTCACCACCATCCTTCAATGTTTTCCAAGCACGAGCCTTGTATAAAAACCTCTCGTCCCGCACATAATTGTCATCAGTTCCCATCTCATGCTTCCACCTCGTGATCTTCCATTCCCGTTTTCTTCGATTAGCCTCACTTCGCCTCGAGTAATCCTCTTTCCGCTGGTTCGTGGCACTTCGACAAGCGTCGAGATTCAGCTGCTAGAATGGGTTCCAGGATGCGAAGCTTGTCCGTGCCGCTGCTTCTCCTTGCGCTTTTCGTAGCGTCAGCCTCCGTCGCGCCTGGTAAAATTCTCACACCTCGTATCGCCGCGCGGTGATAACTCACCCCCCCGAAATTGCGCATTTTTACCAAAATCTCAGATTCCTTTCTCTCAAATATCACTTCCGTCTCCTCGCACTGCCTTCCCTTTTGTGCCGTTCTCCTCTTTCCCGATACTCGGGAGCTATTTCGAGTTCATCATGCCGCCTCTAAACTCTCGCATTCTCTCCAATTCACGCAGCGTCTGGAAGGACCTTGTCTCCTCGTCGCATCCTAGGCCTTTCGCTTCTCAGCTTCCCCAAGTCCTCGACCACTGCTCTACTAGCCACTCCCGGAGGCACTGGCGGAGACACTGGCGGCGATACCGGCAGTGGCGGCGACATTGGGGGAGGCGGCGATGCGGGGGGAGGCGGAGAACCTGGCGGTCCTGGCGGAGACGTCGGCGGCGAGCAGGGCGGTCCTAAGGGTCCCCCTGGTGGCGACAATGGGGATACCGCCAGTGGCGGAGATACCGGCAGTGGCGGCGACGTTGGGGGAGGCGAGGGTGGCCCGCCACTGATCGGCGCTGGCGGAAAGGGCGGGAAGGGCGGAAAGGGAGGGAAGGGTGGGAAGGGCGGAAAAGGCGGAAAGGGAGGGAAAGGGGGCAAGGGGGGAAAGGGGGGGAAACCTGGTAACCAGCAGGGGGGACCTGGCGGAGATCAGAGGGGTTCTGACGGAGAGCAAGGGGGGGCTGGTGGGGAGCAGGGGGGATCCGGCGGGGAGCAGGGGGGATCTGGTGGAGAGCAGGGCGGGGCTGGCGGGGAGCAGGGGGGAGCAGAGGGGCAGGATCAGGGCCAGACCGCAGGCACAACGAGCACAGGGAAGGGTGGAAAGGCTGGAAAGGGTGGAAAGGGTGGGAAAGGAGGGAAGGGAGGCAAGGGTGGAAAGGGTGGCAAAGGTGGAAAGAAATAAAAGGCTATTGCAATAGCTAGGGGTTGTAAAATTACTTGTTTTTGTATTACTAATGCTGTTGTAAGGAAAATTCCTTTTCCTTACTTCGCGTCCCCGCTCAGCGCGTACACCACTGTAGCACCACAGTCAGCACCGTTACCACTCGCAACTCTCGCATCGACAATCCTCCCGCCACCTTCGCACGTCGCACCCCGACCTCACGGCTTGGCGGGTAACCCGCGCTCCGGGCCTCCCTGTCCTTCCTCAATTGCACTCGTAACAGCTGTACACAAAGTCCCCATTTTTAAGAGGGTATCATATTCTGTACGCTCTCTCCCAACGGACAGGGGGAAGGGGAAAGCCTTGTTTTTTTCCAGATTGCCCTTTGTGCTCTCCTAATGGGATTGCAAAACCAACTCTCTAAATACATCTCGCACTTTAGATGCGTGACTTTAGATGTCTTATAATTTTGAGAAATTTACAGAGCAATTTCTTCCACGAATCAGGTTGTGGCACCATTTACTTATATAAATTTCATACAATATGTTCTTCTACATCTACAGTTAGTTTTAGTGGCAGTTAGCTGCTGTACTGTAGTTGTAGGCTGTAAGCTGTAACCATAAATATGTTTCTCGTTTAAGGAGTCTTTATAAGCGTTTGAAACTGCTGGGGATTAAACAACAGAACTGAGTATTCCGTTCATCTGGTATGGGAGAAGAGAACAGAACTGCTGCGCTGTTGCCATACTGCCGCGCTGTTGCCATACTGCCGCGCTGTTGGCATACCACCATGCCACCGTGTCACCATGTCACCATGTGGCCATGCCATGTGCTGCCATGCTGCCATGCCGTATGCTGCCATGCGGTTTGCTATACCGCCATACCACGAGGTGTGGCTGTTGCGGTACGAATCAAGTCAGCACCTGTTGGATCGGATTGGAATGGAATGGGACAAAGGAGGTTGCTGGTTGGTGGTTGCCATGCTGCCATGCCATGCAATCACCATACTGCCATACCACAAGGTATGGCTGTTGATTTTTTATTCGACTCAAAAGTCACCTCAATGGGACAAAGGAGATTGCTGCCATGCCATGTTGCCATGCCATGCAGTCACCATACCGCCATACCACGAGGTGTGGTTGCTGCCAGTATGAAAAGTCAGCACCTGTTGGAATGGAATGGAATGGGATGGAATGGGATGGAATGGGATGGAGTGGGATGGAATGGGATGGAGTGGGATGGAATGGGATGGAATGGGATGGAATAAGATGGAATGGAATGGAATGGAATGGAATGGGATGGAATGGGATGGAGTGGGATGGAATGGGATGGAGTGGGATGGAATGGGATGGAATGGGATGGAATAAGATGGAATGGAATGGGATGGAATGGGATGGAATGGGATGGAATGGAATGGAATGGAATAAAATGGGATGGAATTGGATGGAATGGAATGGGATGGAATGGGATGGAATGGGATGGAATGGAATGGAATGGAATGGGATGGAATGGGATGGAATGGAATGGAATGGGATGGAATGGGATGGAATGGGATGGAATGGAATGGAATGGAATGGAATGGGATGGAATGGAATGGAATGGAATGGGATGGAATGGGATGGAATGGAATGGAATGGAATGGAATGGGATGGAATGGGATGGAATGGACCGGAGTGGATTGAATAGGAACAAAGAGATTTGCTGGTCGCTCATCGATGAAGGACAGCAGAAGCCCTGTTCTCAAGAAAAACAAAAAGGCAACACGGTTCAAAACCAGCAAGCGGGACAGCTTGTCACACAATGCACACCATGCTCGACTCAAAAATCAACTCATCACACGCGGAACAGTTTGTCACACAATGCACACCAAGCTCCAATCTAACCGGTACCACTCACTTCGCAGGATGTCGGAGAAACAGCTCTGCTCGTCATCTGCCTGCATTCTAACTCTCTTCTTCTTCTCTGTTCCTTCAGCTGCCTCAGCCACTCTCAATGAATGAGACGTAACTCTCACCTCAAGGGTCCTCCCTGAGTGGTGTGCCACCTGTATGCAAAGCTGAGGTAACAACAGTCCACTATATGAAAGGATACCAAACGGAAAGCATCAGAGCTGTGTGAGAGAGTGACTTTACCTGACTTGGGCTCGAGCCGTGCATTTCTCAATGTGCGGCTCGAGCCTGGGTTGGTTCAATCACATTGGTCGCGTGGATTTCCCCCTTGGTGCTTTCCTAACAACCTCGCGTCAACTTCCCTGGTTCCCCACCTACCTACCCTCGAATATGCACACACAACATTGCTACACCCAAACCACACCAGAACTACACCTCAATCTAACTGGCACCGTATATGCACAACCGTGCATATTCGGTGACAGCTGTCGGAGAAACAGCTCTGCTCGTCATCTGCCTGCATTCTAACTCTCTTCTTCTTCTCTGTTCCTTCAGCTGCCTCAGCCACTCTCTGCCCCCTCCTGTGCCCGTGCTTGAGCAGCTCGAGCGCGGGTCACAGGACCAGTACGCTGAGGCCCGGTCCCTCTGATCACGGCTGTGTTCGTCTGATGCTCCCTCAACAGCGCCCCTTTATCGTTTTCCAAGACCAGCACCCCCGAAGGGCGCACCTCCTTGACTTTCCAGCGCACTGTCCCCAATCCCACGTCTAGAGTGTCCTGCTTTGCTCTCTTCAAATAAACTTCCTGCCCTTCCCAGACGCCCCTCGCCGTTCTCCCCTCACTTTTCCGTTGCCGCTGTTCGTATCTCCTGGCATCCCGCAGCTGTGCGGTGTGCAGATTTTCCAGCGCGGCTGGCATCATGTGTCGCATGTAGCGCGCTCTCACCTCTGACAGGGCTACCCAGTTCTTAATCGTGCCCGCTGTCACTGTGTCTGTCAACACCCGCGGTGCCCCCACTGGCACGATGGGCTCTCGTCCAAAGAGTAGGCTATACGGAGAATGATCCTTCAGCGCTGCCTGCTTCCCAAACCTGTATCCTGCCGCTATCCAGTCCAACTCATCATCCCAATCCCTCTTCCTCTGCTCCCCGTAGGCCCGCAGCCCTCGCTTGAAGGTCTGCACCGCGCGCTCGGTCAGCCCGTCGCTCTGCGGGTGGTAGCGGGAGGTCTTTCGGTGCGTGATGCCAGACTCCTCCAGCAACTTCTTGAACTCTCCTTGGAACTCTGTTCCCTGGTCTGTGAGCACCTCACCGCACGCTCCAAACCGACACACCACCTGTGCCTTGAAGGCTGCTGCAATGTGCCTCGCGCTCTTGCTAGGGATGGCTCGCACCTCCAGCCACTTGCTCACATGTTCCACCATGAACACTATGTACTGATTCCCGCTCCTGCTTAGCGGCAGCTCTCCCGCGAGGTCTAGGGACCATCGGAACCCCAGCCCGCAGATCGGCAGTGAGTGCAGCTCTGATTTGGCCTGCGTCAGGTTTGCTTTGCTCCTCTGACATGCCTCACACCCCTCCACCCACTCCTTCACTTGCCTGCGCATCCCTTCCCACCACCAGCCCGTCTTCAGCAGGTGCACGGTCCTCTCGTGCCCGAAGTGTCCCAGCTTAGTGTGCACTTCCTTGATCACTGCTTCACGGTCCTTGGGCGCAGGCACCAGCTTCCAGCCATCCTCCGTCTTGATCTGCAGCTGCTGCTGATACCACCTGTAGTGGTGCCCTCGTGCCCTCACCCTTTCTGACACCGTCTCATCCTCTTCGGGTTCTCCCTTCACCCATTCCATTGCCTTTGCATCCTGCCAGATGTCAGCTGGCCCCTTGCTCCCTTTTGCCCCGACCTGCTCCACCTCTCTTGCCAGCAAGATCAAGGTGTGTGCTGGCTCCGGCTCTGTTTCCTCCGTCCCCTGTGCTACCTGTTCTGCTTCCAGCGGCGGCGGGTTGCGGGAGAGACCATCAACGTGCTGCAGCGTCTTCCCCGGCCTGTGCTTGATCTTGAAATCATATTCCTGCAACTTCACTGCCCACCTCGCGTTCCTCCCTGTCAGCCCTGGTGTAGTCATCAGCCATGTGAGGGGCTGATGATCAGTGACTAGGGTGAATTCTCTGCCCTGCAGGTATATCCGGAAATGCCCGACCGCCCACACTGCCGCCAGCCCCTCCCCGATGTATGAGCTGTACTGTGCCTCCGCTGGGTTGCAGCTCCTGCTGGCGTAGGCCACCACCTTCTCCACTCCCTCCACCTCCTGGCATAGTATTGCCCCCATCCCTTGGCTACTCCAGTCGGTGTACAAGATGAAGGGCTGATCTGCTGCTGGCAGCCGCAGCACGGTTGCTGTCTTCACGGCTGTCATGAGGTCTTGCAGCGCCTCTCTCTGCTTTTCTCCCCACTCCCATGCCTTGTCTTCGCGCAGCATCCCGTTCAGCACCGTCGCTCGCTTACTGAAGTTCGGCACGAAGCGCCTGTAGTAGCTGAGGAAGCCCAAGACCGCACGCAGTCCTAATTTGTCTCGCGGTTCCCTTAGCCTGTCCAGCACTTGCACCTTTGCTTGCTGGATCCCAATCTGCCCCCCTATGACCTCATACCCCAGGTACTGTACTGTCCGCTCCCCCCACTTGCACTTGTTGGGATGGCACGTGAGCCCTGCTCCTTCTATGGCCGTCAGTGTTTTCTCCACATCCTCCAGGTGCTGCTGCTCGGTCAAACTGAAGATCACGACATCATCGATGTAGCACGCCGCGTGTTCTATTCCCCGCAGCACCGCGTCCATAACTCTCTGGAACACTGCCGAGGCGTTCCTCAGGCCGAAGGGCATGTACAGCCACTCGTACAGCCCATCCGGTCCGTGGAAGGCCGTTTTCTTCACGTCCTCCTCTCTTATCTTGATTTGATTGAACCCCTGTCGCAGGTCCAGCGTTGTGAAGAACACCCCGTCCGCCAACTTTTCAAAGAGCTCTTCTGCCATCGGCATGGGGTATCTATCTGGCACTGTGATCTTGTTAAGATCCCTGTAATCTCCGCACATCCTCCTACTCAGCACCTCGCCTGTCAAGTCCTTCCGGGCTGCCACCACGGTTGGGGTGGCGTACTCGGACTCTGACCTCCTAATCAGCCCGGCTTCCAGTAACTCCTTTATCTTCTCCCTACAGATCAATTCATCCCCTGGTGGCATCTTCCTCCTGCGGTGGAACACCGGTTCGTCACTATTCAGCTTCAGCGCCATCTCTTTGATCTTACACTTCCCCAACTCCAGCAGGGTGAAGGCAAAGCCCTTCCTATGCTTGGCCAGTAGTGCCCGCATAGCTGCCCTCCCTTCCTCGCTCATGCTCTCACCTATCTTCCACTCTGGCTCCTGTTTCTGCAAGCAGGCCCACACCCCTTGCCTCACCGTCGCCACCGTGTTTTCTCCCTCCTTCAGTCCCCAGTGCAGCACTGTCTCTCTCCACATCCGCTGCACCAACCACCTCATCATGTACCCATCCATTGCATTCCCCATCGCCCGCCTCCGTTCCTGTTCAGTCACGCCAGGGGCTGCTGTAGCGTTCTCCTTGTACCCCATGGCCAGCTCCCTCTCCAAGGCCGTGGGCTCCTCCCATCGTCCCTTCCCGTGGTCGAACACTAGTCCTGGGCCTGGCTGCTTCCCGTCCATCTGATACCCTGCTGCCCCCTCATATGACACTAGCGTAGGTAGTGCTTGCCTCTCCTGCCCCACCTGATTGCATGGATAATGTCGGCTGTAGCTCCTCTTATTCACTGGTGCTGGTGTTCGCCCAGGCTCCAGTATATCGCTCAGCTTCCGCCCCTCTGCTCTCTGCACCCCCTCTATCTCCTTCTGCAGGTCTTCCCTTGGCACCACATTCTGCCAGTACATCCTGAGCCTGTGTGCATAGGCTCCCATCCGCGTTGCGTCACTGCTCACTCCCTTCCCCACCTGTCTGGTCACTCGCTCCCTTACCAGTCGTATTGGCTCTCGCACATCTCCTTCCATGTCTAGGTGCTCCAGCAGGTAGGCCACTCTGCCTTGTCTAGCCTGCATCCACTCCATGACTCTGAACAGATCCTCCATCAGTTGTGTCCGTAGGTCTTGCTCACCCTTGCCTTTCCCTGCCCATGATACCCCTTGGCATTCCCACCCAGCCACCAGCAGGTCCACGTGCCCCCAGCTTGCCACCTCAGCCTCCGTGATGGCCCTTACATCATTCACTCCTCTGCTCATTGCTGCCTTGATCACCTCTCCCTTCAGCAGTTCCGGGAACTCTCTATGCAACTGCCATGCATGATGCTCCGCCATTTTCCTTGCTTCTGCTGCCTTCTCTACGTAAATCCACTGCTTCACTGCAATCCCGTTCTGCACCACTGCTGCCAGTCCCGCCCCTATACCTCCGAACAGTTCCACCAGCCGGATAGGTTGCTGCCAATCAGTCTGTTGGCTAGGCTCGTCCATGAAGCGCATCCTGGGCTCTCTACCCTGTCCCCTGTCTGTCATGCTCTCCTGTGCCCCCTGTTTCACTGTCATCCCCCTCAGATCTGCCCTGTAGGCCCTTTTTGGCTCTGTCCTGACAAACTGCACAGGCAGTTGTCCCAGTGGCTCACCCTTCCTCCACCACCTGGTTCTGAATTCCACCGTCTCCTTGCAGAAGCAGATGGTCATACCTAGTGCAAAAAGCATCTCCGTGCCCACCAGGACGTCAAAATCTTCAGATTCTGAGATCCCACACCTGATCCTAACCGGCGTTTCGTGTTTCTCCCCCTTTAGCACCGTCAGTTCTATTGGAGTCCTTGTACACGGCATCCACTTTGACTCTCCTCCCTCTGCTGTCATCACTAGCATCCCCTTCACTACATGCCTGTCCGGTGCCCACAGTCCCAGCTTCTCGGCCATCCCCTTCCCTAGTATTACGCTTTGTGCGCCAGTGTCTATAATAGCCATCTTAGCCTTCTCCCCTTCCACACACAACGCGCCACCTTGGATCAGCAGCACGGAAGTCTGGCACGCCAGCCGCTCCTGAGGATGCCGTGCCGCTCTACATCTCTCTTCCCTCTCTCCCGGTTTCTGTCCTTTCTCTCGTTCCTTCCTCACCTGCTCCTTCCGTGCATCCTTTCCTCCGCTGCGCAGCCCCATCTCCTCCCTTCCTCTCCATGCTAAGTATGCTGGCTGCTCCTCGTGTTCCACCTCATCCTCTGCTCTTCCTGCCCAGCTCATGAACGCGGCTTCCTCATCCTGCTCTACATCTTCCTCCTTTTCTTTCTTAGCGTACATCCCCGCTTCTGCTTCGCGTCGGGGTCCCATTGCCTGCAGCTGAGCCTGTAGCTTGCTAATCTGCCTTTCCAGGTCTTCTGGTGTCCTTTTAGCCGCTCCCTCTCGTTGGTAACACTCTTTCGCTGCATGCCCTCCCTTCCCACAGGTTTCACACTTCGGCGCTGTTGGGCACTCCCGTCGCCGATGCCCTGGCTTGCCACAAGAGTCACAGTTCTTGCAGTCTCTGCGTAAGTGTCCTGGCTGCCCGCACCTGTGGCACGTTCGAGTGTCAGGCCTGGTCTCCCCTCTTCCTGCAGCTTTGTCCCTCTCTTCCGGTATCATGGCTGCAGCCCACGTTGGTCCCCTGCCTCGTTCTGCTGCTCGAGGCCTGTATGCCTCGTACTTCCTCTGTGCCAGCTCCATCTTTTCTGCCATCTCAAACACCTCCTCTAGTGTCGTGTCCGCCCCCATCTCGTACACTTTCATCCGCAGCCCGCTCCCTAAAGTGCCCTCCAGCCCGTCCAGGAACTTGCTCACGAGCAGGCCCATGTCCACGCAAGTCACATCCTCCGCCAGGTTGACCAGCCGATTGTAGTAGGTGAGTAGTGACTCGCCCCGCCCCTTCCTGAAATCTTGGAACTCTCTAATCTTCTCTGCAGTATGGCCTGGGAACTGCCGCTTCAGGCGCCTCAGGAATTCTTCCGTTGGATCCTCCCCATACCTTCCTGCCCTCTTCAGTAGCTCATCCATCTTCATCCTATACAATGTCTCTGCCTCCCCTTCCAGTGTGTTGGGCAGGCTCAGAAAGAAGTCCACTGCATCCATGCCGCTCCTCTCGCATCTGTACCGCACATTGCCCACTTGCATGAGATAATTCTTCAGCGTGGGCCCCAAGCGCTGGTCCCCAGAGAAGCGTGCTGGCACTTCCACTCTTGTGACCATAGCCGTGCTTCCCCTTCCTTCTCCCCAGGCCTCACTCAACCCGCCTGCTATTCTGCGAGATGTTCCCCTCTCTCTCGCCCGCAGTATCCCCTCCCTTGCCTCTCTGGCCCGCTCCAGGCTGTGCATCAGCCCGCTGCCTCCCCCTCTGCTGCTGCGTTGATCCTGTCCTCCTTCTCCGACATGTCTTTCGTCACACTGCCTGTATCGCCCAGGCGAGCGAGACCCACCGCCCTGCCTTCCATCCCTGCTTCGCTGCCGCGGCGGCGAGCGATATCTGTCTCCTCGGCTCTCCTCGTGTCGCTGACGCCAATCCGTCGAGCGCGCCTCGCCTCCCCACCTCCCTCCATGATACCGTTGCGTGTCATGCGAGCGATACCCATCTCCGCGTCCCCCATCATGATAGTGATGCGGATCTGGTGAGCGCGAGTCCCCTTCGCTCCTCCTGCCGTGATACCTCCGCGGATCTGGCGAGTGCGCACTACCTCCGCGTTCTCCGTCACGGCGCTGCCGCGGAACTGGCGAGCGGTAACCGCCTCCGCGCCTCTCGTCATGCGGCGGCCGCGGATCAGGCGAGCGATAGCCGCCTTCGCGCCTCTCGTCACGCTGCAGCCGCGGATCTGGCGAGCGCGCGCCGCCAGCGTGCCTCCCATCGCGATGCCGTCGCTGGCCTGGAGAGCGCGCGCCGTCGCCGCGCCCCACGTCACGGTGCTGCTGCAGATCGGACACGCACACCTCGCCTCCGCATTTCTCGTCACGGTGCTGACGCGGATTCGGCGAGCGCGAGCCACTGCTACGCCTCCTGCCGTCCTTCTCTTCGCCACGCGACTGGTTCCGACCACCATTCTTCCCATCCGCTTTCGCTGCGCTTGGCTCTGCCGCCACGCCCGCCTGCGTCGGATCGGCCTCCTTGACTCCAGTGGGCATATCGCGCTGCCCGCCTGCGCCTTCCTCCTGGGCTTCGTCATCGCCCTTCGCCTCGCCTTCGGGATCCGTCTCCTGCGCCTTATTCGCCATGTCGGCCTCGTCCTCTCCGTCAACATCGAGGTCTCCCTGGCGACCAGAGAATAATTCCTCGAGGCCACGCCCGCGACTCCGCTCTTCGCGACGGCGGTAACCTTCGTCCGGCGAGCGATACGCTCCCGTGTCCTGGCGATATCCACGATCGCCACCAGCTCCGTGGCGCGCGTCCGTCCGCCACGGGTCACTTCCCATCCTGACGGACTCGGATCCGCCTCTTCCTTCTCGCTCTGCACCTTCTCCTCGGTGATCTGGTGCGAGAGGGACCAGATCTGCGCGGAAGGCTGGCCTCCGCGGCGAGCGCTCAAGCCTCCGCGGTGACCTCTCCAACGAACGCCCGCGCTCCCGTGAGCGTTCGCGCCGCGAGCGATCATCCTCACGACGCCCATAGTTCCTGCCATATCGCAGCTCGTACACATCCATGCTTGCACGCACACCCTTTCCGTTTGGTATGAATGAGACGTAACTCTCACCTCAAGGGTCCTCCCTGAGTGGTGTGCCACCTGTATGCAAAGCTGAGGTAACAACAGTCCACTATATGAAAGGATACCAAACAGAAAGCATCAGAGCTGTGTGAGAGAGTGACTTTACCTGACTTGGGCTCGAGCCGTGCATTTCTCAATGTGCGGCTCGAGCCTGGGTTGGTTCAATCACATTGGTCGCGTGGATTTCCCCCTTGGTGCTTTCCTAACAACCTCGCGTCAACTTCCCTGGTTCCCCACCTACCTACCCTCGAATATGCACACACAACATTGCTACACCCAAACCACACCAGAACTACACCTCGATCTAACTGGCACCGTATATGCACAACCGTGCATATTCAGTGACAAGGAGGGCACGTTCCGCTTCTTCGTGTGATGAGTCGATTTTTGAGTCGACTAAAAAATCAACAGTTTGTCACACAATGCACACCATGCACCAATTTAACCGGCACCACTCACTTCACAGGAGGGCACGTTCGGCTTCTTCGTATGATGAGTCGATTTTTTGAGTCGACTAAAAAATCAACAGTTTGTCACACAATGCACACCATGCTCCAATTTAACCGGCACCACTCACTTCACAGGAGGGCGCGTTCGGCTTCTTCGTGTGATGAGTCGATTTTTGAGTCGACTGAAAAATCAACAGTTTGTCACACAATGCACACCATGCTCCAATCTAACCGGCACCACTCACTTCACAGGAGGGCACGTTCGGCTTCTTCGTGTGATGAGTCGATTTTTGAGTCGACTGAAAAATCAATAGTTTGTCACACAATGCACACCATGCTCCAATCTAACCGGCACCACTCACTTCACAGGAGGGCGCGTTTGGCTTCTTTGTGTGATGAGTCGATTTTTGAGTCGACTGAAAAATCAATAGTTTGTCACACAATGCACACCATGCTCCAATTTAACCGGCACCACTCACTTCACAGGAGGGCGCGTTCGGCTTCTTCGTGTGATGAGTCGATTTTTGAGTCGACTAAAAAATCAACAGTTTGTCACACAATGCACACCATGCTCCAATTTAACCGGCACCACTCACTTCACATGAGGGCGCATTCGGCTTCTTCGTGTGATGAGTCGATTTTTGAGTCGACTTAAAAATCAACAGTTTGTCACACAATGCACACCATGCTCCAATTTAACCGGCACCACTCACTTCACAGGAGGGCGCGTTCGGCTTCTTCGTGTGATGAGTCGATTTTTGAGTCGACTAAAAAATCAACAATTTGTCACACAATGCACACCATGCTCCAATTTAACCGGCACCACTCACTTCACAGGAGGGCGCGTTCGACTTCTTCGTGTGATGAGTCGATTTTTGAGTCGACTAAAAAATCAACAGTTTGTCACACAATGCACACCATGCTCCAATTTAACCGGCACCACTCACTTCACAGGAGGGCGCGTTCGGCTTCTTTGTGTGATGAGTCGATTTTTGAGTCGACTGAAAAATCAACAGTTTGTCACACAATGCACACCATGCTCCAATTTAACCGGCACCACTCACTTCACAGGAGGGCGCGTTCGGCTTCTTCGTGTGATGAGTCGATTTTTGAGTCGACTAAAAAATCAACAGTTTGTCACACAATGCACAGCATGCTCCAATTTAACCGGCACCACTCACTTCACAGGAGGGCGCGTTCGGCTTCTTCGTGTGATGAGTCGATTTTTGAGTCGACTAAAAAATCAACAATTTGTCACACAATGCACACCATGCTCCAATTTAACCGGCACCACTCACTTCACAGGAGGGCGCGTTCGACTTCTTCGTGTGATGAGTCGATTTTTGAGTCGACTAAAAAATCAACAGTTTGTCACACAATGCACACCATGCTCCAATTTAACCGGCACCACTCACTTCACAGGAGGGCGCGTTCGGCTTCTTTGTGTGATGAGTCGATTTTTGAGTCGACTGAAAAATCAACAGTTTGTCACACAATGCACACCATGCTCAAATCTAACCGGCACCACTCACTTCACAGGAGGGCACATTCGGCTTCTTCGTGTGATGAGTCGATTTTTGAGTCGACTGAAAAATCAACAGTTTGTCACACAATGCACACCATGCTCCAATCTAACCGGCACCACTCACTTCACAGGAGGGCACGTTCGGCTTCTTCGTGTGATGAGTCGATTTTTGAGTCGACTGAAAAATCAACAGTTTGTCACACAATGCACACCATGCTCCAATCTAACCGGCACCACTCACTTCACAGGAGGGCACGTTCGGCTTCTTCGTGTGATGAGTCGATTTTTGAGTCGACTAAAAAATCAACAGTTTGTCACACAATGCACACCATGCTCCAATCTAACCGGCACCACTCACTTCACAGGAGGGCGCGTTTGGCTTCTTTGTGTGATGAGTCGATTTTTGAGTCGACTGAAAAATCAATAGTTTGTCACACAATGCACACCATGCTCCAATTTAACCGGCACCACTCACTTCACAGGAGGGCGCGTTCGGCTTCTTCGTGTGATGAGTCGATTTTTGAGTCGACTAAAAAATCAACAGTTTGTCACACAATGCACACCATGCTCCAATTTAACCGGCACCACTCACTTCACATGAGGGCGCATTCGGCTTCTTCGTGTGATGAGTCGATTTTTGAGTCGACTAAAAAATCAACAGTTTGTCACACAATGCACACCATGCTCCAATTTAACCGGCACCACTCACTTCACAGGAGGGCGCGTTCGGCTTCTTCGTGTGATGAGTCGATTTTTGAGTCGACTAAAAAATCAACAATTTGTCACACAATGCACACCATGCTCCAATTTAACCGGCACCACTCACTTCACAGGAGGGCGCGTTCGACTTCTTCGTGTGATGAGTCGATTTTTGAGTCGACTAAAAAATCAACAGTTTGTCACACAATGCACACCATGCTCCAATTTAACCGGCACCACTCACTTCACAGGAGGGCGCGTTCGGCTTCTTTGTGTGATGAGTCGATTTTTGAGTCGACTGAAAAATCAACAGTTTGTCACACAATGCACACCATGCTCCAATTTAACCGGCACCACTCACTTCACAGGAGGGCGCGTTCGGCTTCTTCGTGTGATGAGTCGATTTTTGAGTCGACTGAAAAATCAACAGTTTGTCACACAATGCACACCATGCTCCAATCTAACCGGCACCACTCACTTCACAGGAGGGCACGTTCGGCTTCTTCGTGTGATGAGTCGATTTTTGAGTCGACTGAAAAATCAATAGTTTGTCACACAATGCACACCATGCTCCAATCTAACCGGCACCACTCACTTCACAGGAGGGCGCGTTTGGCTTCTTTGTGTGATGAGTCGATTTTTGAGTCGACTGAAAAATCAATAGTTTGTCACACAATGCACACCATGCTCCAATTTAACCGGCACCACTCACTTCACAGGAGGGCGCGTTCGGCTTCTTCGTGTGATGAGTCGATTTTTGAGTCGACTAAAAAATCAACAATTTGTCACACAATGCACACCATGCTCCAATTTAACCGGCACCACTCACTTCACAGGAGGGCGCGTTCGACTTCTTCGTGTGATGAGTCGATTTTTGAGTCGACTAAAAAATCAACAGTTTGTCACACAATGCACACCATGCTCCAATTTAACCGGCACCACTCACTTCACAGGAGGGCGCGTTCGGCTTCTTTGTGTGATGAGTCGATTTTTGAGTCGACTGAAAAATCAACAGTTTGTCACACAATGCACACCATGCTCCAATTTAACCGGCACCACTCACTTCACAGGAGGGCGCGTTCGGCTTCTTCGTGTGATGAGTCGATTTTTGAGTCGACTAAAAAATCAACAGTTTGTCACACAATGCACACCATGCTCCAATTTAACCGGCACCACTCACTTCACAGGAGGGCGCGTTCGGCTTCTTCGTGTGATGAGTCGATTTTTGAGTCGACTAAAAAATCAACAATTTGTCACACAATGCACACCATGCTCCAATTTAACCGGCACCACTCACTTCACAGGAGGGCGCGTTCGACTTCTTCGTGTGATGAGTCGATTTTTGAGTCGACTAAAAAATCAACAGTTTGTCACACAATGCACACCATGCTCCAATTTAACCGGCACCACTCACTTCACAGGAGGGCGCGTTCGGCTTCTTTGTGTGATGAGTCGATTTTTGAGTCGACTGAAAAATCAACAGTTTGTCACACAATGCACACCATGCTCAAATCTAACCGGCACCACTCACTTCACAGGAGGGCACATTCGGCTTCTTCGTGTGATGAGTCGATTTTTGAGTCGACTGAAAAATCAACAGTTTGTCACACAATGCACACCATGCTCCAATCTAACCGGCACCACTCACTTCACAGGAGGGCACGTTCGGCTTCTTCGTGTGATGAGTCGATTTTTGAGTCGACTGAAAAATCAACAGTTTGTCACACAATGCACACCATGCTCCAATCTAACCGGCACCACTCACTTCACAGGAGGGCACGTTCGGCTTCTTCGTGTGATGAGTCGATTTTTGAGTCGACTGAAAAATCAATAGTTTGTCACACAATGCACACCATGCTCCAATTTAACCGGCACCACTCACTTCACAGGAGGGCGCGTTCGGCTTCTTCGTGTGATGAGTCGATTTTTGAGTCGACTAAAAAATCAACAATTTGTCACACAATGCACACCATGCTCCAATTTAACCGGCACCACTCACTTCACAGGAGGGCGCGTTCGACTTCTTCGTGTGATGAGTCGATTTTTGAGTCGACTAAAAAATCAACAGTTTGTCACACAATGCACACCATGCTCCAATTTAACCGGCACCACTCACTTCACAGGAGGGCGCGTTCGGCTTCTTTGTGTGATGAGTCGATTTTTGAGTCGACTGAAAAATCAACAGTTTGTCACACAATGCACACCATGCTCAAATCTAACCGGCACCACTCACTTCACAGGAGGGCACATTCGGCTTCTTCGTGTGATGAGTCGATTTTTGAGTCGACTGAAAAATCAACAGTTTGTCACACAATGCACACCATGCTCCAATCTAACCGGCACCACTCACTTCACAGGAGGGCACGTTCGGCTTCTTCGTGTGATGAGTCGATTTTTGAGTCGACTGAAAAATCAACAGTTTGTCACACAATGCACACCATGCTCCAATCTAACCGGCACCACTCACTTCACAGGAGGGCACGTTCGGCTTCTTCGTGTGATGAGTCGATTTTAGAGTCGACTAAAAAATCAACAGTTTGTCACACAATGCACACCATGCTCCAATTTAACCGGCACCACTCACTTCACAGGAGGGCGCGTTCGGCTTCTTCGTGTGATGAGTCGATTTTTGAGTCAACTAAAAAATCAACAGTTTGTCACACAATGCACACCATGCTCCAATTTAACCGGCACCACTCACTTCACAGGAGGGCGCGTTCGGCTTCTTCGTGTGATGCGTCGATTTTTGAGTCGACTAAAAAATCAACGGTTTGTCACACAATGCACATCATGCTCCAATTTAACCGGCACCACTCACTTCACAGGAGGGCGCGTTCGGCTTCTTCGTGTGATGAGTTGATTTTTGAGTCGACTGAAAAATCAACAGTTTGTCACACAATGCACACCATGCTCCAATCTAACTGGCACCGCTCACTTCACAGGAGGGCACGTTCGGCTTCTTCGTGTGATGAGTCGATTTTTGAGTCGACTGAAAAATCAACAGTTTGTCACACAATGCACACCATGCTCCAATCTAACCGGCACCACTCACTTCACAGGAGGGCACGTTTGGCTTCTTCGTGTGATGAGTCGATTTTTGAGTCGACTGAAAAATCAACAGTTTGTCACACAATGCACACCATGCTCCAATCTAACCGGCACCACTCACTTCACAGGAGGGCACGTTCGGCTTCTTCGTGTGATGAGTCGATTTTTGAGTAGACTGAAAAATCAACAGTTTGTCACACAATGCACACCATGCTCCAATCTAACCGGCACCACTCACTTCACAGGAGGGCACGTTCGGCTTCTTCGTGTGATGAGTCGATTTTTGAGTCGACTAAAAAATCAACAGTTTGTCACACAATGCACACCATGCTCCAATTTAACCGGCACCACTCACTTCACAGGAGGGCGCGTTCGGCTTCTTCGTGTGATGAGTCGATTTTTGAGTCAACTAAAAAATCAACAGTTTGTCACACAATGCACACCATGCTCCAATTTAACCGGCACCACTCACTTCACAGGAGGGCGCGTTCGGCTTCTTCGTGTGATGCGTCGATTTTTGAGTCGACTAAAAAATCAACGGTTTGTCACACAATGCACATCATGCTCCAATTTAACCGGCACCACTCACTTCACAGGAGGGCGCGTTCGGCTTCTTCGTGTGATGAGTCGATTTTTGAGTCGACTGAAAAATCAACAGTTTGTCACACAATGCACACCATGCTCCAATCTAACCGGCACCACTCACTTCACAGGAGGGCACGTTCGGCTTCTCATCCTCCCCAGCACGATGCTCACTCCTCTGTACTTTGCGTAGGCTCGGCCGAAGCTGAGCGCCAGGGTCGGTTGCTTGTTGCGGTATGTGCAGCGCTGGTACATGCGGTTCGGGGTTCGACCCCCCTTTCCCCGGCATGGGCTGGAGGGTGGAGGGGCGAAGGTAGGGGTGCAGAGTAATGCAGAGGGGTGCAAACAGAAAGTGTGCGAAAGTGAAAGGGGTTCCGACCCTTTTCCAGACATGGGTTGGGTTGGAGGGTTGATTGTGGAAAGGTAGGAGTGCAGAGGAGTGCAGGGGAGACTTACAGCTGGGGCACATTCGTGATAGTCCTCCACTGAGTCCCTCTCGTCCGCGGTACTATCCGCAGCTCCAGCCCTCCAGCGCACCCTCCTTTATCCCCCTCCTCATCTCATCTCATCCTCCCTAGGGCAGAACTCTCCACTTACAGCTGGGGCAGATACTTGATTGTCCTCCATTGAGTCCCTCTCGTCCGCGGTACTATCCGCAGCTCCAGCCCTCCAGCGCACCCTCCTTTATCCAGCACTCGCACCGTCATATTCTTAGGGTAAAACCCCCTATTTACACTCGGCGGGGTGATTTCCACCGAATAAGCGTGCCCCGCTAAGAGAGTCGCCGTTATCGTTCGAAGCACAGGCTGCGAGCCTTTGTACAGTTTGGAATAGTCGTTTCGGTCTCCTAGGGAATAGAAATAGGCTCGGTCGGTTAGCCGGGTGAACTTTGCAGTGGAATAGGGTCGGATCCGGCGCTTCTTGATTTGGTTCCGCGATAGGTTCGGCACGCCGTACTCAAGGTAGGTCAGGGCAATGGCTCGGTAGCAGACGGACCTGGAGGGGAGGTGAGGAGGAGACGGAGAAGGAAGAAAGGAGCTCAGATTGAAACACACTCAAATGTTAAAACACACTCAAGGGCAGATAAGCTTTCTGTAAGGTAAAATGCTGCGTGAAATCTTGATACATGAAACCTGGAATGTTCAGGTGCACAGGTGAGTGGCTTTGTTTTGACACTCCAAATATTCTGACACTCCCGAAGTTCTAATCTGAGACACCTCCAACCTCCAGCTCTGCAGCAACCCAAATCAAGGATGCCCCACACCGTACCTGACACACAGGCTCGGAAACGCACGAACCTGCATGAGTAGAGCGACCAGGTGTCGTGGTACTGGCAGAGGGAGGCTCGGACCGAGGTTGGCGGCAGGATCGGGTGGAACGGAGCAACGAGGTAGGCTGGGCGGGCGGCGCTGGGGAAGGCTGGAGAGGAGGAGGAGAGGAAAGAGCCATCGGCGTCGTGGAGGGCGTAGAAGCGAGCATTGGAGCCTCCCCTGGGGACAGGGCGGTTGGGCTGGAGGGTAGAATGGGAGAGAGGAGCAGAGGGGAAAGGGGAGGCATGGAGAGGGAAAGTCAAGTAAGGAGAGAAGGGAATCATCTGCAATGTGCAGCTCGAAGGTGGGGTGGCGGGTGGCGCTGGGGAAGGCTGGCGAGGAGGAGGAGAGGAAAGAGCCATTGGCGTCGTGGAGGGCGTAAAAGCGAGCATTGGAGCCCTTCCTTCCTGGGGACAGGGCAGCTGGGCTGGAAAAGGGAAAATGGGCGGAGGAAGGGAGAGGAGCAGAGAGAAAGGGAATCAAGGAGAGGAAGGAGCCATGGGCATCGTGCAGCTCGAAGGTGGGGTGGCGGGCGGCGCTGGGGAAGGCTGGCGAGGAGGAGGAGAGGAAAGAGCCATCTGCATTGTGCAGCGGGTAGGACCGAGCGTTGGATCCTCCCCTCTCCTCCCACCTTACCAGCACATACCATAAATAGCAGCACTTACTGCAAATAGCAGCACTTACTGCAAATAGCAGCACTTACTGCAAATAGCAGCACTTACTGCACATTGCAGCACTTACCACGAATAGCAGCACTTACTACAAATAGTAGCACCTACCACAAATAGCAGCACTTACCACAAATAGCAGCACTTACCGCATTGGGAACAGCATAGAGTCGCCTTGTGGCAGATGTGAACTGAAGACCCTGACGAATGCAGCAGCAGGGAATGAAAGGGAAGAGGGAATAGGGCGTAGGGAGGAGGGGGCAATGTGTGTAGAACTCAGCTTAATCTTAGTTGCTTTTGAGAATTCTTAAAAGTGACAGGTCTGCAAAGGAGGGACTGAGAGGGTGCATGGATTAGTAAGGAGGAGGGAGGAGAGAGAGAGGTGATAAGTGCTGGGTTCCACACTCATCATCGCTGGGTTCCACACTCATCATCGCTGGGTTCCACACTCATCATCGCTGGGTTCCAGCTCCCACCTGCCTTGTTCACTGCCAGCCAGCCAATGCAAGAGGAGATCTCTTCAGAGTGGGGCCGCACTCCCACTCAACCACACACACACCAACTGATACACTCCCGTACTGTCCCTCTCACCTTCACACTCATCATCGCTGGGTTCCAGAACCCACCCGCCTTGTTCACTGCCAACACAAGAGCGGAGCTTTTCAGAGAGGGTGGCACTCCCACTCATTCACTCACTCACTCCCTCACACATCAACTCTCCGTTACTCACGCACACAGCAGAACTCACTTACTCTAGCCCCCTCTCATCTTCACACTCATCGCTGGGTTCCAGAACCCACCCGCCTTGTTCACTGCCAACACCAGAGCGGAGCTCTTCAGAGCATGGCCGCACTCACACTCATTCTCACTTACCCTCCCCTAATCTCGCTCTCTCTCACTCATTCAATCGCTCCCCCTCTCACCTTCACACTCATCGCTGGGTTCCAGAATCCGCCTCCCTTGTTCACTGCCAACACCAGAGCCGAGCTCTTCAGAGTGGGGCCAGTCACACTCAACTACACTCCCTTACTCACTCACGCAGACTACCACTCACTCACTCACTCACTCCCTCCCTCCCTCTCACCTTCACACTCATTGCTGGGTTCCAGAATCCGCCTGCCTTATTCACTGCCAACACCAGCGCAGAGCTCTTCAGAGTGGGGCCGCACTCACCAAACCCCGAGAACCTGATGTGTTGAGGGAAGAAGGAAGAGGGGAAAGCGGGGAAGTGCAGACCTGCTTTTGAGTCGACTCAAAAGTCATGAGGGTTGTTGTGAGGACCCTAAGCAGAGCAGAGCTCTTGAGAGTGGGGCCGCATTCACCAAACCCCAAGAACCTGATGTGATGCAGTGCGGTGCGGATGAAGCGAGGGGTGTTTTTTTGAGTCGCCTCAACAAAGTACGCTACAGAAGAAAAAAAATCACACCCCACACAGAGAGTGCCTGCAACAGCACACAGTATGTCGCCTCAACAAAGTACGCTACAGAAGAAATCACACCCCACACAGACTGGGGCCGCACCGCACCGCAGTCAACAAAACCCCGAGATCCTGATCAGCATCACCCCAATGGGATGTGCCATGCCTTCTCTCCAACAGCCAACCCCCTCTAAGCCTCCACACCCCTCCCTCTCACCTGCTGTTCACCACCCTGTTTTGAGACGTCTCAAAACCCCCTCCACCCCTCCACGCCCCTCCCTCTCACCTGCTGTTCACCACCCTGTTTTGAGACGTCTCAAAACCCCCTCTACCCCTCCACGCCCCTCCCTCTCACCTGCTGTTCACCACCCTGTTTTGAGACGTCTCAAAACCCCCTCTACCCCTCCACGCCCCTCCCTCTCACCTGCTGTTCACCACCCTGTTTTGAGACGTCTCAAAACCCCCTCTACACCTCCACGCCCCTCCCTCTCACCTGCTGTTCACCACCCTGTTTTGAGACGTCTCAAAACCCCCTCTACCCCTCCACGCCCCTCCCTCTCACCTGCTGTTCACCACCCTGTTTTGAGACGTCTCAAAACCCCCTCTACCCCTCCACGCCCCTCCCTCTCACCTGCTGTTCACCACCCTGTTTTGAGACGTCTCAAAACCCCCTCTACCCCTCCACGCCCCTCCCTCTCACCTGCTGTTCACCACCCTGTTTTGAGACGTCTCAAAACCCCCTCTACCCCTCCACGCCCCTCCCTCTCACCTGCTGTTCACCACCCTGTTTTGAGACGTCTCAAAACTCCCTCTACCCCTCCACGCCCCTCCCTCTCACCTGCTGTTCACCACCCTGTTTTGAGACGTCTCAAAACCCCCTCTACCCCTCCACGCCCCTCCCTCTCACCTGCTGTTCACCACCCTGTTTTGAGACGTCTCAAAACCCCCTCTACCCCTCCACGCCCCTCCCTCTCACCTGCTGTTCACCACCCTGTTTTGAGACGTCTCAAAACCCCCTCTACACCTCCACGCCCCTCCCTCTCACCTGCTGTTCACCACCCTGTTTTGAGACGTCTCAAAACCCCCTCTACCCCTCCACGCCCCTCCCTCTCACCTGCTGTTCACCGCCCTGTTTTGAGACGTCTCAAAACCCCCTCTACCCCTCCACGCCCCTCCCTCTCACCTGCTGTTCACCACCCTGTTTTGAGACGTCTCAAAACCCCCTCTACCCCTCCACGCCCCTCTCACCTGCTGTTCACCACCCTGTTTTGAGACGTCTAAAACCCCCCTCTACCCCTCCACGCCCCTCCCTCTCACCTGCTGTTCACCACCCTGTTTTGAGACGTCTCAAAACCCCCTCTACCCCTCCACGCCCCTCCCTCTCACCTGCTGTTCACCACCCTGTTTTGAGACGTCTCAAAACCCCCTCTACCCCTCCACGCCCCTCCCTCTCACCTGCTGTTCACCACCCTGTTTTGAGACGTCTCAAAACCCCCTCTACCCCTCCACGCCCCTCCCTCTCACCTGCCGTTGACCACCCTGTTTTGAGACGTCTCAAAACCCCCTCTACCCCTCCACGCCCCTCCCTCTCACCTGCTGTTCACCACCCTGTTTTGAGACGTCTCAAAACCCCCTCTACCCCTCCACGCCCCTCCCTCTCACCTGCTGTTCACCACCCTGTTTTGAGACGTCTCAAAACCCCCTCTACCCCTCCACGCCCCTCCCTCTCACCTGCTGTTCACCACCCTGTTTTGAGACGTCTCAAAACCCCCTCTACCCCTCCACGCCCCTCCCTCTCACCTGCCGTTGACCACCCTATTCGCCTCCAGCATGCCGCACAGCTTCACGCCAACCGGGCTGCAAGGCAAGGCCCTCCCTCCCCTTCTCTCCAACCTCCAACCCCCTCTACCCCTCCCAGTTCCCTTCTCTCACCTTGAGTTGACCACCTTATTCGCCTCTAGCATGCCGCTCAGCATCACACCGAGCGGGCTCTTGAACGTGCCATCTCTCCCTCCCACCTCCTTCCTATAACCCTCTTTTCCCCACCCCCTCCGTTCGCTCACCTGCTGTTCACCACCCTATTAGCTTCCAGCATGCCGCTCAGCTTCACTTGACTCAGCATCACGCCAATGGGGCTCTTGAACGTGCCGCCGTCCCGCGAATAGAAGAACCCCGCAGCCACTCGCCCCCTCGTCGCCATCTCCTTCACCCTCTGCACCGCCTCGATCTCCCCACCCCCATCATCCTCTTCCTCCTCCTCTTCGTCCTCCACTTCCTCTTCGTCTACCTCATGGCCATCCTCACTACCATTGTAAGCCGTTTCATCGTCATTGTAAACTAATTGATCTTCATTGTAAGCTGACCCATCCTTTAGATAAGTGCTAAGAATTTTAGCAGTAGATTCACCCACCCCCTCGTCATCTCCCTCATCCGCTTTATAAGTTGATCCATTGCTCTCTCCACGCACCCTCCTCTTCCTCCATCCCCACTTCCCTCCCCTTCCCATAACCCCTTTAGTAGCTGCTTCAGCTGTCTCGCTATATTCATCCTCGTTATAGTCATCCTCCATACTGTACTGTGGCGCTGTTAGCATCAGACCAGGCGACTGCCAGTTCGACGTCGTGTACCCTTCCATTTCATCCTCGTTAGTAGCAGCTTCAATGTGCAGGCTAGACGATGCTGCTCCTGCTGGTAGCTGTGGTGTTGCCTGTGTTGATGGCATGAGCGGTGTTGGTGCGTGTGTTGACGGCATGAGCGGTGTTGGTGCGTGTGTTGATGGCATGAGCGCGTGTGTTGACGGCAGTAGCTGTGGCGGGGTTGGTGGCATGAGGTGTGTCGATGCAGCATCATACGGTGTTGACCCTCCGGAGGATTTGCTGTTGGGGCACAGGGGAAGGAGGAAACATACGGCATTAGCTGTGGTGTTGCATGCGTTACTGGCATTAGCTGTGTCGGTGCGTGTGCTGCCGGCAGTAGCTGTTTCGGGGTTGAACGGCATAAGTTGTGGAGGGGTTGGTGGCATGAGGTGTGTCGATGCAGCATCATACGGTGTTGACCCTCCAGATTATTTACTGTTGGGGCAAAGGGGAAGGAGGAAACATATGGCATGAGTTGTGGGGTTGAAGGCATGAGTTGTAGAGGGGTTGATGGCATTAGTTGTTTCGGTGCAGCATCATATAGTGTTGAACCTCCAGATGATTTGCTGTTGGGGCAGGGGAAGGAGGAAATGCGTGTGTTGATGGCAGTAGCTGTGGCGGGGTTGGTGGCATTAGGTGTGTCGATGCAGCATCATAAGGGGTTGAACCTCCGGATGGTTTGCTGTTGGGGCGAAGAGAAGGAGGAAAAACATACACTGGGAGCAGTAGGAGTGGGGAAAAGATTGTTGAGTCAACACAAAGATAGGTGCAGCATCATATGGTGTTGACCCTCCAGATGATCTGCTGTTTGGGGCAAAGGGAAGGAAGAGATATGTACAGGCATGGGGAGCAGAGTGCAAGGGGTCAACAGGGGCAGGCTAGGGAGGATGAGGATGCAAAAGTGGGACTGGCAGTGTTACCTGCACTGCACAGTGATGCTTCTTATCCGCACACAAATGTATATGTTTTTTTAGAATAAAAAAGAAACAGGTTCCGCACACAAATGTATATGTATCTCCTCCGCACACATATGTATATGTATCTCCTCCGCACACACACTCTTACCTGCAGGCCATACGGCCAATGAACGTGCTTGAGAGAATGAGGATGCCAAAGTTGCGGTTCAGGTTGATTCCAATGCGGTTGTTGAGAATGGTGGGTGGATAGTTGTGTGATGTGTTACCTGCAGCACATATATATGTGTGTGTGTATATATATATACGTGCATGTGTATCCGCACACACACACAGTCTTACCTGCAGGCGGTGCGGCTGATGAAGATGCAGGTGAGAATGAGGATGCCAAAGTTGGGCCGGCAGTCTTACCTGCACGGCACAGTGCTTTTTATCCACACACACACACACACATTCTTACCTGCAGGCAGTGCGGTCGATGAATGTGTATGTGAGGATGAGGATGCCAGATTTGCAGTTGATGTTGATGGCAAAGCGGTTCTTCAGGAAGGTGGGTGGATAGATAGTTGCACGTTCCTGTTGCATAAACTCATTCCCACACCCATGTGGCATTCTTACCTGCAGGCAGTGCGGTCGATGAATGTGCAGGTGAGGATGAGAATGCCAAAGTTGGACTGGCAGTGTTACATACATGTGTAACCGCACCCATGTGACACTCTTACCTGCATGCGGTGCGGTCGATGAATGTGCATGCAAGGATGAGAATCCCAAAGTTGCAGTTGAGGTCCATGGCGACGCGGTTGTTCAGAAAGGTGGGTGGGTAGTTGCGTTGCGTGCTCTGTTATAATACATATGCATGTTTCGTGTATCCGCACACACACACATTGTTTTGTTACCTGCAGGCGGTGCGGCCAATTAAGGTTGCATGCGAGAATGAGGATATTTTTTTAGTCGACACTATTTTTGAGCCTATTTTTGAGTCGACTAAAAAATATGCCAAAGTTGCGGTTGAGGTCGATGGTAACGCAGTTGTTGAGGAAGGTGGGTAGTTGCGTGTTTTGTTACCTTCAGCACATATGTACATACATGCATGTATATCCGTACACAACACACACACACACTCCTACCTTGAGGTGTATTTTGAGGCGCCTCAAAATATGTACATGCATGTACACAACACACACACACTCGTACCTGCAGGTGGTGCGGCCGATGAAGGTGCATGTCAGGATGAGAATGCCGAAGTTGCGGTTGAGGTCGATGGCGACGCGGTTGTTGAGGAAGGTGGAGTGGCTAGGATGGTTGCATTGCATGTTTTGCTACACAAACTTATATCCGCACCCATCTGGTGAGAGCGTTACCTACCTGCTGCAAACTGTGCGGCCGATGAAGGTGCAGGCAAGGATGAGAATCCCAAAGTTGCGGTTGAGGTCGATGGCGACGCGGTTGTTCAGAAAGGTGGAGTGGCTGACGGTGATGCTCTGGCTGTTGTACAGAAATACGCTGGGAGGGGGAGTGGGGGGGAAGGATGGGTGGAGAGAGAGTTGCGGTTCAGGATTGATGGCAATGTGGGTGTTGACCAAGGTGGAGTGGCTGACAGTGATGCTCTGGCTGTTGTACAGGAATACGCTGGGCGAAGGGGGAAGGGTGGGGGGAAAGGAGGGAGGAGGGAGGGAGGGAGGGTGGATAGGGAGTTGCGATTCAGGTCGATGGCAACATGGGTGTTGACGAAGGTGGAGTGGCTGACAGTGATGCTCTGGCTGTCGTACAGAAATACGCTGGGAAGGGGGGGAAAGGTGGGGAGGAGGGGAAAAAAAGGGAGGGGAAAGGAGGACGGGGACGGAGCGTGACGACGGCTCAACAGATACAAGAGGAGCTTTTGAGTCGACTCAAGAGGAGCGGATAAAGAACCCACATTTAAGAAAGAACAGTACGACAGCCGCAGAAAAGAAAGAAAAGTACAACAGCCGCAGAAAAGAAAGAAAAGTACGACAGCCGCAGAAAAGAAAGAAAAGTACGACAGCCGCAGAAAAGACAGAACAGTACGACAGCCGCAGAAAAGAAAGAAAAGTACGACAGCCGCAGAAAAGAAAGAACAGTACGACAGCCGCAGAAAAGAAAGAACAGTACGACAGCCGCAGAAAAGAAAGAAAAGTACGACAGCCGCAGAAAAGAAAGAAAAGTACGACAGCCGCAGAAAAGAAAGAAAAGTACGATAGCCGCAGAAAAGAAAGAAAAGTACGACAGCCGCAGAAAAGAAAGAACAGTACAACAGCCGCAGAAAAGAAAGAAAAGTACGACAGCCGCAGAAAAGAAAGAAAAGTACGACAGCCGCAGAAAAGAAAGAAAAGTACGACAGCCGCAGAAAAGAAAGAAAAGTACGACAGCCGCAGAAAAGAAAGAACAGTACGACAGCCGCAGAAAAGAAAGAACAGTACGACAGCCGCAGAAAAGAAAGAACAGTACGACAGCCGCAGAAAAGAAAGAAAAGTACGACAGCCGCAGAAAAGAAAGAACAGTACGACAGCCGCAGAAAAGAAAGAACAGTACGACAGCCGCAGAAAAGAAAGAACAGTACGACAGCCGCAGAAAAGAAAGAACAGTACGACAGCCGCAGAAAAGAAAGAACAGAACGACAGCCGCAGAAAAGAAAGAACAGTATGACAGCCGCAGAAAAGAAAGAACAGTACGACAGCCGCAGAAAAGAAAGAACAGCTCGACAGCCGCAGAAAAGAAAGAACAGTACGATAGCCGCAGAAAAGAAAGAACAGTACGACAGCCGCAGAAAAGAAAGAAAAGTACGACAGCCGCAGAAAAGAAAGAACAGTACGACAGCCGCAGAAAAGAAAGAAAAGTACGACAGCCGCAGAAAAGAAAGAACAGTACGACAGCCGCAGAAAAGAAAGAACAGTACGACAGCCGCAGAAAAGAAAGAACAGTACGACAGCCGCAGAAAAGAAAGAAAAGTACGACAGCCGCAGAAAAGAAAGAACAGTACGACAGCCGCAGAAAAGAAAGAACAGTACGACAGCCGCAGAAAAGAAAGAACAGTACGACAGCCGCAGAAAAGAAAGAACAGTACGACAGCCGCAGAAAAGAAAGAACAGAACGACAGCCGCAGAAAAGAAAGAACAGTACGACAGCCGCAGAAAAGAAAGAACAGTACGACAGCCGCAGAAAAGAAAGAACAGCTCGACAGCCGCAGAAAAGAAAGAACAGTACGATAGCCGCAGAAAAGAAAGAACAGTACGACAGCCGCAGAAAAGAAAGAAAAGTACGACAGCCGCAGAAAAGAAAGAACAGTACGACAGCCGCAGAAAAGAAAGAACAGTACGACAGCCGCAGAAAAGAAAGAACAATACGACAGCCGCAGAAAAGAAAGAAAAGTACGACAGCCGCAGAAAAGAAAGAAAAGTACGACAGCCGCAGAAAAGAAAGAAAAGTACGACAGCCGCAGAAAAGAAAGAAAAGTACGACAGCCGCAGAAAAGAAAGAACAGTACGACAGCCGCAGAAAAGAAAGAAAAGTACGACAGCCGCAGAAAAGAAAGAACAGTACGACAGCCGCAGAAAAGAAAGAAAAGTACGACAGCCGCAGAAAAGAAAGAAAAGTACGACAGCCGCAGAAAAGAAAGAAAAGTACGACAGCCGCAGAAAAGAAAGAAAAGTACGACAGCCGCAGAAAAGAAAGAAAAGTACGACAGCCGCAGCCGCCGCAGCAGCAGGAGCGGCGCTGCTCACTCAAGAGAAAGATTTTGGGTAGCATCACTCACCCGATGGGGTTGCTGTAGATGAGAGAGTGAGAGATGCGCACCTGAACGTGAAGCGGGATGGGGGACGGGATGGGAAGAGGGGAGAGGAGAGGAGTGAATGAAGGTTGAAGAAGCAGCAGCAGCAGCAGCAGCAGCATCGGCGCTCACCCAATGGGGTTGCTGTTGATGAGAGAGAGTGAGAGATGCGCACGTGGGTTGACTTTTGAGTCGACTCAAAAGTCGATGAGAGTGAGAGATGCGCACGTGGGCCAGAGAGAGGGGAAGCGATGGGAGGGAAACGGGGGGTTAGAGGACAAGGAGGAGAGAGGTGAGTGGAGGAGATGCGGGAAGAAAAGGGGTGAGTGGAGGAGAGCGGGGAAACCGAATTTTGAGACACTAACAATGGAGCTGTGGATTTGACTGGAGTTGACTGACAATGGATGGTGTCGACTTGACTGTAGTTGACTGGAGTTGACTTACTTGGATCGCCTTCCTACCTTTCCCTTTCGAGGGGAACATGGGGTGAGCACCATGCGGGTAGGTAGGTGTGGAGACCAAAGAGGGTGTTGACTACCTTTGACCAGCATTGGGTAGCGTTGACTAACGTTGACTAGCGTTGACTTACTTGCACCGCCTTCCTTCTTATCCCTCTCGAAGGGAACATTGGGGCGGGCGCCGTGAGGGTAGGTGCGTGCGCAGGCTAAAGCGGGCGTTGGAGTGAAGCACATTGCCATCTGCACTCGCAGACTGGCATTGACTGGCGTTGACTTGCGTTGACTTACTTGGAGCCCCTTTCTTCCTTTCCCTTGCGAGGGGAACGCAGGCCGGGCGCCGTGCGGGTAGGTGCAGAGGCCAAAGAGGGCGTTGGAGTGAAGCACAGGTTGCCAAGTGTGTGCTAGTGTTGACCTACATTGACTGGCGTTGACTTACTTGGATCGATTCTCGTCCTTTCCCTTTCGAAGGAAACATGGGACGAGCACCGTGCGGGTAGGTGCGGAGGCCGAAGAGGGCATTGGAGTGAAGCGCGCTGCCAAGTATGTACCTTCATTGACTGGCGTTGACTGGCGTTGACTTACTTGTATTGACTCTCTTCCTTTCCCTCGTGAAGGAAACATGGGCCGGGCGCCGTGCGGGTAGGTGCGGAGGCCAAAGATTGCGTTGGAGTGAAGCACAGGTTGCCATGTGTGTGCTAGCGTTGACCTACATTGACTGGCGTTGACTTACTTGGATCGATTCTCGTCCTTTCCCTTTCGAAGGAAACATGGGACGAGCACCGTGCGGGTAGGTGCGGAGGCCGAAGAGGGCATTGGAGTGAAGCGCGCTGCCAAGTATGTACCTTCATTGACTGGCGTTGACTTACTTGTATTGACTCTCTTCCTTTCCCTCGTGAAGGAAACATGGGCCGGGCGCCGTGCGGGTAGGTGCGGAGGCCAAAGAGGGCGTTGGAGTGAAGCACGTTGGCTGTGAAGACCCCAAAGGCGAGCGTCATGGGGGAGAGTTTTTTCCAATAGGGCAGATTCTTGGACAGACCCCTCATGTGCTTGTTTAGCTCCATCCAGAAGCTGGGGGGAGGGGGGCAGGGGATGGGAGGGGTGAACGGGAAGGGATGAGGCGGGGAGAGGAATGGGTATGAGCATTGAGGGAAGATTCTTGGACAGACCCCTCATGTGCTTGTTGAGCTCTAGGCAGAAGCTAGGGGGAGGGGAGAAGAGGCCAGGGAACAGAGAGCGGATTGGGAGAGAGAGTACAAGTGCCAAGGCTTGAGCATTGAAAGGGGAGGCTCCTAGAGAGTCCCCTCATGTGCTTCATGAGCTCAAGCCAGAAACTGGGAGGTGGGAGGGGTGGGGTGGGGTGTCGTCGCAGGAGGGGAATGAATGGGGAGGAATGGAGGGAAGAGGCACAGAGGAAGCACGTTGCCTGTGAAGACCCCAGAGGCGAGCGTCACAGGAGAGAGGTCTTTCCAGAATTCTCGTCAGTGTTCGGGGAGAATTCTTTGCAGTGTATGTCGTCTGTAGCAATGCGTGCTGCAATGTCTGCTGCTGCAATGTCTGCAGCAATGTCTGCCTGCAGCAGCATCGGTTCTTCACTTCATATAGGCTTATGGAAGGCGTTCTTCTATTGTATGCACTCACTGTACTCATTCACCCAGAGTGAGCCCTCCGACCGACCCAGCAGTCATGTCCCCAAGAACTGCTGAAAGGGCAGAACGAGTGCTGTGAGACATGTCAAACACTCCGCTCATGTCAACGGGCACCACACTGCACCACACTGCACCGCAGTGCACCACACGCCACACCACTCACCCCGAGTCCTCCGACCCAGCAGCCACGTTCAACACGATGCTGTTGAAGGGCGTGGCGAGGCAAGAGGCATCCAAACCAACAAGGTTTACAACACCAAAGACCATACTGCACCGCACTGAATCACAATGAACCACACCCTGCACTCACCCCGAGTCCTCCGACCCAGCAGCCACGTTTCCCACGAAGCTAATGAAGGGCGTGGCTAGACAAGAGGCAGAGGCGAACCAGTAGGATCTACAGTATAGAAATCACATTGCACCACACTGTACCACGCTGCACCGCACTGCACCGCCACTCACCCGGAATCCTCCGACCCAGCAGCCACGTTCCCGACAAAGCTGTTAAAGGGCGTGGCTAGCCAAAACGTGGACGGCTTGTCGTCCGTCTGGCGGTCCAACTTAGCAAGAGAGGCGGGTGGAATAAGCTGATGCACTGAAGGGGTGGGTCGGAGGGGTGGCAGGGGGTCAGGGAGGACAGACAGAGGTGTGGTGTGGAAGAGGAAGAGAAGGGTTGAAGCCTTATGAATTTGACCCACACGTCATGACGTTCCCCATGAAGCTCTGTTGAAGGTTGTGGCGAGCCAGAAAGTGGACGGCTTGTCGTCTGTTTGAGCCAGAAAGTGGACGGCTTGTCGTCTGTTTGAGCCAGAAAGTGGACGGCTTGTCGTCTGTTTGGCGGTCGAATTTAGCGAGAGAGACGGGTGGAATAAGCTGATGCACTGGAGGGGGAAAAGGGGGAGGGGAATGGGGGAGAGAGGGGAGAGAGCGGGTGAGGGAGAAGGGCTACAGAGGAGGGAAGGAAGGGCGTAGTGAGCCAAAACGAGGATGGGATGGGTGGTTGTCTTTCTGGCGGTCAAACTTGTTGAAGAGATTTTTGCAGCGCCTCGAAAAGAAGAACTTGTTGTCAACCAGCCATTCACCTCAGCATGTGAGTGGATGGTTGTCTTTCTGGCGGTCAAGCTTGATGAAGAGAGAGGGGGTAAAGAAGATCGGAAAAAAAGGAAGCGGGCGGAAGGAAGGGGGGGAAGCTAATAGGCGGTTCCTCCTTGGAGAGACAAAGGGAGGAATGGGGCCCCAGTGCTTAGTGCTGGAGGGGAGGAAGGGGCCACTGCCTCCGCATGGTGATTCGGTTCACTTCCTCTCCTCCACTGCCTCCAGCACAAAGCAGTGCCCCCTCGCCTCTCCCATCCAGTCACTCACTCCTCCCAACACGCTAACACACAGAGAAGGCACACACACACACACACACACACACACACACACACACACACACACACACACACACACACACACGCACACACACGCACACACACTGCTACACGCAACAGCGCGTGTGCTCATCCCCAGGTTGCGGATGAATCAACGTGGTTCCCTCCTCACTGCCTTCCTCGCCTCACTGCCCTCCTCCAAAGCGCCCTAGCTACCAGTGCCTGTTTTGCCCCAGCATGCACGCACACACGCTCGCACACACACACACACACACACGCACACGCACGCACGCACGCACGCACACACACATACGCACACGCACGCACACACACACACACACGCACGCACACACACACGCACACACACACACACACACACACACACACACACGCACACACAAACGCGCACAGCCACCCCACTGCAACAAGACCCACCAGCGCGTGTGCTCATGCCCAGGTTGCGGATGAACGTGTTCTTCCTCGCCCCGCTGCCTTCCTCCAACACAAAGCCGTGCCCCCTCGTCTCCCTCCCATCCGTGCACTACCCCCCACCATGCACACACAAACACACATAGCAGCACCCACCAGCGCATGTGCTCATGCCCAGGTTGCGGATAAACGTGTTCCTCGCCTCGCTTCCCTCCTCCAACACGCCCTAGCAGTTCCCCCTCATCTCCCTCCCATCCATTCACTACCCCCCACGTGCCCACGGTGCCCACCCACCCAAACACAGGCACACACACACACTCCCTGCAGCACCCACCAGCACGCTCATGCCCAGGTTGCGAATGAACGTGTTCCTCGCCTCGCTTCCCTCCTCGTCTCTCTCTGCTACATTGTCTATTCACCCCCGTACTCACACACACACTACAACACTCACCAGCGCGTGTGCTCATGCCCAGGTTGCGGATGAACGTGTTCCTCGCCTCACTGCCCTCCTCCAACACAAAGCAATGCCCCCTTGTCTCGTACGCCACATTATCGGCAATAGTCACGCGCGAGGTAGCATGCACCACAATGCATCGCTGCAGGGAGAGGGAATGGGAGGCGTGGAATGCAGGGAAAAAACGGAGTACAGAGGGGACGCATGAAGCAGCAGCGCCCCCCCGTCTCATACGCCACGTTGTCTGCTTTAGTTACACGTGATGTGGCGTGCACCACGATGCAACGCTGCAGGGCGAGGGAATGGGAGGCGTGGAATGCAGGGAAAAAACGGAGTACAGAGGGGACGCATGAAGCAGCAGCGCCCCCCCGTCTCATACGCCACGTTGTCTGCTTTAGTTACACGTGATGTGGCGTGCACCACGATGCAACGCTGCAGGGCGAGGGAATGGGAGGCGTGGAATGCAGGGAAAAAAACGGAGTACAGAGGGGACGCATGAAGCAGCAGTGGCTTCTCGCCTCACTGCCCTCCTCCAACACGAAGCAATGTCCCCCGGTCTCATACGCTACATTATCGGCAATAGTTACTCGTGAGGTAGCGTGCACCACTATGCATCACTGCACATGGGGAACACATAGGCGAGGGGATGAGAGTATGAGAGAGCAGTGAGCAGCGCCCCCTTTTGAGTCGACTCAAAAGCAGAGTGTGAGAGAGCAGTGAGCAGCGCCCCCTTTTGAGTCGACTCAAAAGCAGAGAATGAGAGAGCAGAGAGCAGCGCCCCCTTGTTTCATACGCCACGTTGTGTGCTATAGTTACTTGTGATGTCGCACGTACCACAATGCATCGCTGCACAAAGGGAGAGGGGCAAGGGGAGAGCGGGGAAGGACACACGGCAAGAGAATGAGGAAACGATGCCCCCTCGCCTCGCCTCACTTCCCTCTGCCTGCACGAATGTTTTTGAGGCGCCTAAAAAATGCGTGAACTGAGACGATTTTTGAGGCGCCTCAAAAATCGAGAGTGGGGAAGGACACACGGCAAGGGAATGAATGAGGAAACGATGCCCCCTCGCCTCACCTCACTTCCTTCCGCCAGCACAAGTGTTCTTGAGGCGGGCGGCTTTTGAGGCGACACTTTTGAGTCGACTCAAAAGTCCCCTCGCCTCACTTCCTTCCGCCAGCACAAGTGTTCTTGAGGCGGGCGGCTTTTGAGGTGACACCCTCGTTTCCGCCAGCACAAGTGTTTTCCCAAGCTGCCCTGATTGCCCGTACTGCCTGCTTTACCACCAGACAGCTTAAACATCACCCTTTATCCTATAGTGCAACAGGTGTTTTCCCAAGCTGCCCTGATTGCCCAGCCCCTCTCACTCGCCCCCCTATCCCCCTCCACTCGTTCGCACCTGCTTTGACTCCAGAATCACGTTCTTGCGAACTAGGAACCGTCGCTTTGTGTTACCGCACACGTGAAAGTGAAGGGGGTACTTTCCCAAGCTGCCCTGCATCCCCAGCCCCTTGAACTGCACGCCATGAATCGTCTGGGGCGTGCGAGTCATGTAGACCATGAAGTGGCCGCCTGAGAGGGGGGAAGAAAGGGGGGAATGTGAAGCCGAGAGGAGGAGGGAGTACCATGAGCAAAGAGAGTACTCCCTGTCTCTTTGAGGGGGAAGAAACAGGGGGAAACACAGCGTGTTTGGAGTGCAAACGCACGCGTGTGTACAGGCAAGCACCAGACGCACACATGCACACATGCACACATGCACACATGCACACATGCACACATGCACACGTGCACACATGCACACATGCACACATGCACACATGCACACATGCACACATGCACACGTGCACACATGCACACGTGCACACATGCACACATGGACACATGCACACGTGGACACATGCACACATGCACACACGCACACAGGCAACCCTCATTACGATCACAATAATCTCACCATCGTATTGGTATGGAGGCTGTTCATGCACCCCTTGAATAACAATATTCCGTGTCAGCAGCGCCACCTCCGCTCGAACGTCCACGGTGCCACCAAACCCGTCCCTCACAGCATTCTTCTCCCCATCGTGGGAGTGTTTCAGTGGGCGGTAGAGAGAAATGATGCTGCTGGATGGACCGGTTATTCTCACTACAAGGGGAGGGGTGGGGGAGAAAGAGAAGTGAATGGGTCAGCAGCGCCACCTCGGCTCAAACATCCACAGTGCCACCAAACCCGTCCCTCACAGCATTCCTCTCGCCATCGTGAGAGTGCTTCAGAGGGCGGTAGAGGGAGATGATGCTGCTGGATGGGCCAACCCTCCTCACTGTGAGTGGGACGGGGAGAGGCAGAATGAAGTAAGAGAAGTGCATTGTTGAGAAGTAAGAGAAGGGCCTGACGACTCCAAACCCGTCCCTCACAGTATGCCTCTCCCAGCTGTGCAAGTGCTTCAGATGGCGGTAAAGAGATATTACACTGGTGGATGGGCCGACTCTCCTCACTGCAATAGTGGGAAGGGCAGAAAGGAGGGGGAGTGGAGTGGAGTGGAGTGGAGTGGAGTGGAGTGGAGTGAGCAAGCCCGCTACTTTAAGCCCGTCCCTCACAGCGTGCCTCTCCCTCAGAGGGCGGTGCAGAGTTATGATGCTGCTGGATTGCCCGCCCAGCTCCAAGACAGCAATGACAGCCTTTTCGGCGTTGTTTGGATCCAAAAAGTCGTAATCGCCACCGCAATCACCCCCATCCCCCCCTGTAATGATTGCTCACCCACCTCCAGTAATGATTGCAACGCTCCAGGCACCTCATACATCGTCTCCTCACAATGGGGTAGAGGAGAGGAAGGACCAAAACTCACCTCCGGTAATGATTGCCTTTTCGGCATTATTCAGGTCTGGCGTCGTGCTCGCCACTGCAATCACGCCCCCTCGGGGCCACGCGCTGACGTCAGCGTCTACAGTGATCTGCCGCGCGCCCTTATTGGCCCGTCGGGCCAGCCGGACCCATGCGAGTGTGCTTGCGCCACCTGGCATGCCATGGAAATCCACCTGACCGCCCACCTGAGAGCAACAGAGAGGGGGTGGAGTGAAACTCATGCCATGAAAACACACACCAGCAGCAATCCAACAACTTGCGGATCATGCATTTATTAGGGAAATTAAGAAACACGAACGAACTAGCATCAGCAGTGCACTCACCACCACGAACGCCTTGTGCCCGAGGCTGCGAGGGTGGGCAGGATCGGCCGGAGCTGGCTGCCGAAGCAAGAACTCGGACCTCCCAAACCTGAGAAATGATGAGTCGCACAAGACAGGAAATCAGGGGGAGAAGAATGAAAAAGTTTCTTCGAAAGAAATGTTGCCAGCATGCAATGCAGGCAAAACGAGCTGAAAGGCTCGGCCGTACCTGAGGTTTGGGACGAGCGTGAATGTGGCTTGGGAGCTGAAGTGGTGCTTCTCTGTGCCCACAGATAGGCGACCGTACACTATAATGAACCGGGCTTGGACGCTTATAGAGGGTACAAACGGGTTGTCCAGCAATCTGTCATCAGTCGATGGGATAGAAAACAAGGAGCAGGTAAACAAGACATACAGCAATCGGGGGAAAAATATATCAAGAGAAGGCAGAGGCCATAATAACACACAGCAACGTGAGATTTCTTCTAATGCTTAGATTAGACATTAGTATACAATGTATCAAACTAAACAGAACTTAAGCGGCATCATATACATTGAGCCATGATACTGTTCTTCTGCTGTAGTAACCACTGTGTACCTCAGCCAGCCCTTTACGACGAGCAATCCCAGGCTGACACGTGGCACGTCCAGAAGCACCGCCCTGCCACATGGGATCGTCACATTGGCCCCCACGCTTGCCCCGATTCCAGGAACCTTCCCCCCCATGAAGGCCCACGTGGATGCTCGGCTCCACAGCTGCCAGACTGGAAAGAGGCGGGCGAGGGGGTGGGGGAGGGGGTGGGGGAGGGGGGAGAGGGGAGGAAGTGGGGTAGGGGAGGAATGGGGAGGAATGGGGAGGAGAGATTGAGGAAGAGGGGGAAGGGGGGGAAGATGGGGAGAGGGAAGAGAGGGAGGGGGATGAACCTTCCCCCCCATGAACGCCCACGTGGATGCTCGGCTCCACAGCTGCCAGGCTGGAAAAGGTGGGGTAGGTGGGAGGGGGAGAGGAGGGGGGAGGGAGGAGGGGAGGGGGGGGGGAGGGGGGAGGGGGGAGTGGAGGGGGAGGGGAGAGTGGGGAGGGGGGGGGGATGGGAACAGGGAGAGGGGAAGGGGGGGAAAGCTGAAATGTGGGTGAGGGGAAGAAGAGGCGGGTGGAAGGGTTGCGGCGGAAATGGGGGAGAGGCCGCTCTGCTTCAAGCTGCCAGACTGGCGGAGTAGGGAAGGGGGGGGGAGGGGGGAGGGGGGAGGGGAGGGGAGGGGGAGGAAGAGGGGGAGGGTGGGGTTGTTTGTCGGGGAATTGTGGGTGGGAGGGCGAAAGGAGAAAAGAGGCTACTTGACTCCAGAGCTGCCAGGCTGGGGGAAGGAAGGGGGGGGGGACGGGAAGGGGGAGCGGGGGGGGAAGGGAACGGGGCTACTCGGCTCCAGAGTGCCAGGCTGGAGGGCGGAGAGGGGGGAAGGGGCGGGAGGGGAGGGCACGGGCGAGCGGGAGGGGGAGGGAGGGGGGGGGAAGAGGAGGGTGAAGGGAGTCGAAGGGCGGGAGAAAAGGGGCTGCAAGGCTCTAGAGCTCCAGTGGAGAGAGGGGGGCGGGGGGGGGGAGGGGGGAAGGGGGAAGGGGAAGGGGGGAGAGGGGGGAAGGGGAGGTAGCGACGCACCTCTGGGTTCTCTGCGCGGTAGCGGCCCGCAGGCCGGAGTGTAGGAGTCAAGTACGCTGAAAGGCGCCGCGGCCGCGCTTCGAACGCCGTCGAATCGCGTTCCGAGGAAAGCAGGCGACAGCAATACGAGAAGCAGCAGCAACAGCAGCGCGAGGGACGGAATCGTTTGGCTGGGCAGTTGACGGCTCGACAGTACTAGAAGTCGGCCCGTCATGGCGCCGCGTAAGGCTAGTACGCCGTAACTAGCCCGTGCGACGTCGTCGCAGAGGGAGGGAGGCGGCGACTGCTGCGACGGCTGTTGCGAAGCAAAGCGACGTGATGCGAAGCGACGCGAAAGACGCGGCGATCTTAACAAGGAGTTTCTACTATACGGGCAACCATGCTGCTGCCTTCTGGTCAACTCATGCGTCACGCGACCGCTCAACGGTTGTACTATCGCAGTAAAGTATAAGAAACGTTAAAAATCTGAAGATTCGGAGTAGCTCGGTTGCCTTAAGAAATAACCCCGCATTTTGACTGTAATCTAGTAAAGCAAAAACGCAATGATGTGCTGAAGGTGTGACGTCAGCGTCAATGGTCAACGCAACTCAGCGCCAGAACCGGAACAGATATTAGCGGAGTTAAAGCTGCACGTTAGGTTTTCGTACAAAGATTCCTCGCAACATAAGGATGAATAACAACCTAGTACCACAAGTTAGACGCCTATGCGACTCGGCAGACCAACTTATGCCTCAACTGTCCAACAAATTAGCCTCCTGTTTTCCCCTCGGCAACTATTCCCTTCTGGTCAGAGTTGAATAACCGGGTAACATCTCCTAACTCTGTCCCAACCTCTGCTCTAGTTTCGTGCATTTTCGTTCGCTCACAAGTACGAGTCGTGCTTGCTTCAGGGCGCCTCCGCTGCTGATTGGCTGGCGGAAACGCGACGGCGGCATGTTCACTCGACGATATTGTTGCACCCGTTGCCAGAACAAGAAACATTCTGAACCTGGGTGATATAAAAACGTTTTCATACGTTCTGAAAGAGCATGATGAATGCGTGATTATTTATTTATAGTGTGTTTTTCATGATTGGCTAAAATTATATTTAGATAGCACACATTCTTATCTGTGGCGGCTGAAGAATCTTGTCGTCCTAATTTGAACACATAGTAAGTCCATGAGTTTAGGGTTTATTAAAAGTGAAGGTACTACTTTGCGCTGGTGTAATAGCGTGGATATTTGAGTGAGTTCTGGTTCCCTGTGAAACACGGCTCTTCATTTCCCCCTAGGCGAATGCGGCGCCGACGTGTAGGCGCACGATCCTGTACCTGGTCTAAGCCACGTTTCATCCTGACGTGGGCTAACGCGTGGCGGCGAGCGTCCGCCAGGATACTCCCTCAGGAGGAATCGTAAAGTCGAAGTCTGCGCCACATCCATCTTGGATTTTTCACATTGGGCTTTCATTTCCAGATCCTAACCTTCTGACCGAACTGGAACGAACCGAGTTCTGCAATATCATGTTACTATTTCACCCCACTCACTCGCTCGAAGTTGTTGGTGGGAGACAAAGCCCGCCAAACTCAGATTTGGTACATTCCCGCGCGTTTTCAAATATGCATTGCTTCAAACTGCCGAATCGCAGGCGGTTCATTTTGCGTAGCCCCAGAGCCTTTCCGCCTGCTCGTTTGGGTGCTTTGCGATTAACTCCTGCGATGCGAAACGAGCGACAAATTGAGCTGGCGCAAGGTAGGTGAGGGAAGGTGAGGTGAGGCGAGGCCCCAGAACAGGCAGACCACACTACACCACAAACTTTGGACTCGCAGTCGCATGCACCCAACCACCACCTTCCGCCCACCAAGCTGGAACACACAAACCATCTTGAACGTCGTTCGGTGGTGTCCTTTGGGTGCCTGCGTGAACACCTGCGATGAAATGCGACGTGAGCGAATTTTCAAATACTCCGCCAAGCGAGGAAAGACACCAAACGAAGCGTCGCACGGCACGCCGCACACGATCATGCTCGCCGCAAGCACCCAGCAAAGCCCAACCCAGAAAATAGCGCTTGACCGCCAGCTCTTGCCAAGCTATTTGTACATAGTACAATCCGCGTGGTTGACCATTCGTGTGATTAGAGGCTTTACTTCACCGCCAGCTCGCTAATCGTTTGCCTACCTGCCGGCCGAACTTCACCCCTTCACGAGTTGTCAACTTCATTGCCTCTCTTCAATCTTCCAAGTTACCTCCTCGATTTTTGCTAATCGCCATGGATGCTCCTCACCTAGTGAGACCGAGCGCGGTTGTCGAGCATTCTTTCAGCCTTCAAGATACTCCTCGGCACATTTCCGAGTTCCCGGACCGGTTCTCCAAGTCGCTTCCAGAAGCTTCAACTCCTGCATTCCTGCTTGACGCACTTCACGAGGCGAGGCCTGTATTTGCGCCGCGAAACATGGAAACAAGCGCTGGGACTAACGATGGGAAGCAACCTACGTGCCGTCACGCAAGTCTCAAGACGATGCTTGTGATTTCTCCGTTCAAGACGCGGTTGAAGAGGACACGAAGCTGCACACTTATCACAGCGCTTGCACATACTGAAGGTAACGCACGATCTAATTCTTAACTAATTAAGTGCTAATCATTTTTCTTTTCTTCCTCTAGACGTAAAATTTCCTTATCAGCACCTCATAATTTTGTATGTTCAATTTGTGTGAAATAACTCACGGTTTCCTCTGTTGCCTCTCCTGATTTGCGTGCAGCTGATTCTCTATTAACGGGGATGAACATTGTCACAAAAACTCCGGAGAACGCAGTCAGCAAATCTCTTCTCGTGGGGGCAGATCCGCTCCGCATGGCGCTGCTCTGTTGCCCGTGCACTCCGCGGAAACCCCAACGCCCCTCGAAATTCCGCCTCAACGTCGCATGCATCCCAACTCGACTCATGCGTCGCCTCGTTTTTTGACAACTCACTGTCTCATCTTCATGCTACTTGGTTGCTTACGAGTGCGCGCGTCTACTTGTAACGGGGATGGGTCTGGCTCTGTTAAATCTGCCAGCACTCACAGCGCGGTGACAGCGTGGACGAGGTTCGACCCAGCATTTGTCGATCCTGATCGTCGATATTCCGCCTGTCTCCTGGAATCATCGCGTCCGCTCATCCAAAAAAAGTTCGGTGCAAAAACCTACCGCAAGGTTACCTCAGGGTTTCCCCGCGGTGGGATACCCCGAGGACTCCATCTACGTTACCTCGAGGTTGCCCTGGGGCAACCTTCTGTGGCTGGTATCCTTCAGGTGACCTACAGGGGTGACCCACAGGTTTCCGAAAAGACGCCCACATGAAACCTCCACCCAACCTCGGCGGCGAATCACGTGCGAGCCGCCGCAGCTATACGAAAATCCCGAAAACAGCAAGGTCCATTCATCTATGAACACTCCGAAACAGCATTCGTATAATTCACCGAAATAGCATCATAGCATTGGTTCGTTTCGTGATGACTCGATACGCGCAGTAGTGCTGATGTGTTTGAAAGTTGCCAGTTATCCTCTAAATGTGCCTTTAAATCCAATCCTTGTTATTGTGAGCACCGACATCGGTACTATTAGAGTGTACTCAATACTGTTATCGTATCTTGTCTCCCTGTAAGCAGATTCGAAAAAGGCCCATAGAGACGCGGCGCGCCACTACAGCTTGTCCACCATACAGGGTTTAATGCGGGATTCGTTAACGATCCTACAATATGGTGTCTATTATGATATTAAACTACCATTTCGACAACGACAATGCAGGTTCCTTACAGCGGCGCGGCTCGTGGGAAACATAGACTAGTTAGGCGCTCTGTCACACTACTTCGAGTTGAGATCGCGGGGTTATTGATGGGCCACTTGTTTGCATCTCTGATTGAGTAGTACATCATTCATCTTCATTTAGGCTGTTGTTACTTCAGCACTTTTCACTAGTCAGGGCAGCCAAGGTAGTTCACCACAACCTATCAACCTACTCTATCATGCCTTACAGGCAGTACAACAATCCCCGGCGCTCCCAGTCTGTTTAACCCACGCATAGGACGGGCGTAATCATGGGACAGGGTAGACCCACTACGTGAGAAGCGAGAGCGACAAACGTGACACTCGGCCCCCCTGCCACACACGGAAGACAGGAAATGGAAAAAATGGCTAACGGAGTGAGTAAGATAGCCGTGCCCTGCTATGTGGGCTATTAGTGCGTATACAAGTGACTCGTAACTGGGTCTCGATGCAAAGAATGCGTAGCCTGTGTGCTGGCAGAATGAATAAACCGTAACCTGCAAAAGAAAAGGCAATGGATGCGGAAGGCTCGAGCAGCACATAACGTTAAATAAACCAGATAAATACGCACCTAGTGAGACATCACGTAAAACGGACCTGTACGGTCGGGATCAAAACCGAAGGTTCGATGCAAGGGTGCAAAACCGCCGACCATGGGTGTCGCGTGGAGGCGATACTTGTGCTACCGCCTGCAGAGAGGTCAACAGAACAACACACCGACGCCTAAGCTTGGGACTAGCAAACTAATACCGCCAGCGTTTAGGACAAACTCACGAAGAAAAACTTACACGTGACCCATGAAACGGACGTCCTCTGCACGTGCGCTGCGCTGTCCACTACACCAGCTGCCAACGCCCCCGATGAGTCGCCCCCCATGCGATCTGGGTCCGCGATAGTCTATTCCCTGCGACAATAAACAGACACGCGTAGTATGGTTAACGCAACATTAAACAAAAATCATGAAGTTGACGGCAGAGAATCGTTACGACATGTCAAGTTGCTCTTGAGGGGCGGAATAGCATGCGCGCAAATAAGCATACACCCGCAGACTACGATGCTAACAGGAGATGGCGATGGCGGCATTGAACACGGAGCGGCTCTGCAATCGACACCAACGGGATAGCTTGACAGTACGAAGAAACTAATGACTGGTTCAGGTTGACGACGGCGTATACATAGCCATCAAGAGTGGTGTTGGGTATAGAAACTGGGGATGGGTAGATGAGGTTCGTCGCCACCTCTGATTGGCTGACTGCTGATACGCTTCCACATACGCTTTCCCATCACAAAAGGTGGAGTCGTGTAAAACACTAGGCAGTGATAGGAAACACGTAAAATGCAATTGCATATGGTATGTTCAAAAAAATTCCAGCACAATATAGCTGCCTACACATTGCCAAGCAACATGAAGGGAGCTGGGCGGTTTTACCACTCTAACACAAAGAAAGGCGCATAAACTTCCAAAACCATAACCAACTGCCAAACATATGCTTCGCCAACGTGAATTACTACACAAAAAGGTGTAAATCATCCACTTGTACCAAGAATAAGCACTACAGCTCCCACCCACGCAAAGAACAAGCTACCCATCTTCCTGAGAGGAGCACTCAAGCAACGGCTGCAGGCACGTGGTGAGCCAATCGGTCAATGCCCTCAAGGTCTTCAATCCCGTCGGTAGATATCAGAATTTTCCCACTGCCAGAAAAAGCCCACGCCTTCTCGGACGCATTGTACCAGGGTCCGCTACCGTTGATAGAGGGTGCCATGATAGCTGCCCTGCACCACGCCGTGACCTTCCTGAGATACTCTGCAGTCAACCTTCCATTGATGGCAGCACTGTGCTCCAGGTCCTTGCCGTTGTTCAGGATGCGGTACTCGACCTACACGAAGGAAAAAACGCGAGCGTGTTAAACTACGAATGGCTGCAATAGGCAGCACAACATTGACAGATGCTTCAGGTGCCAGTCACGAGCTACCCATGCAAACATTAGAGAAGCACCCTGTATTCTCAATCCACTTACCCCTGCGAGATAGTAGGCGATGTGGTAGAGCTTCACAATGGCAGGCTCAGTCTTGAACTTGAAGAGAGAGATGAAGATGCCCGACTCGAAGGCTGGGTGTGCGAAGGGAAGACCGCCTGCCTCTGGTGCGCGGATCCATGTGTGGAGGCCATGGCTTGTAGCATCTGCACCCATGATTCGGTGAACCTGGTTAGAGTTGTCTCATGCGCGAAGGAAGCATGCAGCAACACAAGCATAGCTTACCTGGAGCATACCGAGCAGCGAAGTTGGTAAAGGTATCCTTCTCGCCTTGGACTGGAGGCTTTTCAGCGCGTGAAGAGCGGGGGGAGCGAGAAAGGGAGGCCAAACCAAATGAAGGTCCACGCTCGGGCCTGGTCCAGGGTGTTTGCGCGGATCTTGGCCAACTTTTTCATCAAAAAGTCACGACGCTTGGTATCGTTCCGCAGCACGATGTGGATCCGAGTTCGCGTCTGTTCGGAAAACTGTGACATGCAGTCAACGAAGGCCTGCTCGATGTATTCCTCAGCCGGCCACATGCTCATGCGACGTGACGGCGTGCGGAAAATCAGCTTCACGCAAACATCGCAGACCAGTTTCTGTAGGGAAGATGCGGTGGGTGGGTAGGGAGGCGAGCTTCAGACGTGCATACAAGCATAGGGGATGGGGAGGTGAGTTTCAGACCTGCACACGAGCATAGGAGAAGGGAGGTGAGTATCGGACCTGCACACAAGCATGGGAGAAAGGAGGTGAGTTTCAGGGTTGCATACAAGCATAGGAGAAGGGAGGTGAGTGTCTGGCCTGCACACATGCACGGATGACGTGGGGTGAGTTTCTGGCCTGCACACAAGCACGGGAGAAGGGAGGTGAGTTTCAGACCTGCACACAAGAATAGGAGAAGTGGGGTGAGTTTCTTGCATGCATACAAGCATAGGAGGAGGGAGGTGAATTTCAGGCATTGCATACAAGCATAGGAGAAGGGAGGTGAGTGTCTGGCCTGCACACATGCACGGGAGAGGTGGGGTGAGTTTCTGGCCTGCACACATGCACGGATGAAGTGGGGTGAGTTTCTGACCTCCACACAAGCACGGAAGAAGGGAGGTGAGTTTCAGACCTGCACACAAGAATAGGAGAAGTGGGGTGAGTTTCTGGCCTGCATACAAGCATAGGAGGAGGGAGGTGAGTTTCAGGCATTGCATACAAGCATAGGAGAAGCGAGGTGAGTGTCTGGCCGGCATACATGCACGGGATAGGTGGGGTGAGTTTCTGGCCTGCACACAAGCATAGGAGAAGTGGGGTGAGTTTCTGGCCTGCATACAAGCATAGGAGGAGGGAGGTGAGATTCAGGCATTGCAAAGTAAGCATCGGAGAAGGGAGGTGAGTTTCAGACCTGCACTCAAGCATGGGAGAAGGGAGGTGAGTCTCGGGCCTGCAAACAAGCATAGGTGAATGGAGATGAGTTTCAGACCTGCACTCAAGCAGGGGAGAAGGGAGGGCGGTTTCTGACCTGCACACAAGCATGGGAGAAGGGAGGGCGGTTTCTGACCTGCACACAAGCATGGGAGAAGGGGGGTGAGTTTCTGGCCTGCATACAAGCATAGGAGGAGGGAGGTAAGTTTCTGGCCTGCATACAAGCATAGGAGGAGGGAGGTAAGTTTCTGACCTGCACTCAAGCATGGGAGAAGGGAGGTAAGTTTCTGACCTGCACACAAGCATGGGAGAAGGGAGGTAAGTTTCTGACCTGCACACAAGCATGGGAGAAGGGAGGTAAGTTTCTGACCTGCACACAAGCATGGGAGAAGGGAGGTAAGTTTCTGACCTGCACACAAGCATGGGAGAAGGGAGGTAAGTTTCTGACCTGCACACAAGCATGGGAGAAGGGAGGTAAGTTTCTGACCTGCACACAAGCATGGGAGAAGGGAGGTAAGTTTCTGACCTGCACACAAGCATGGGAGAAGGGAGGTAAGTTTCTGACCTGCACACAAGCATGGGAGAAGGGAGGTAAGTTTCTGACCTGCACACAAGCATGGGAGAAGGGAGGTAAGTTTCTGACCTGCACACAAGCATGGGAGAAGGGAGGTAAGTTTCTGACCTGCACACAAGCATGGGAGAAGGGAGGTAAGTTTCTGACCTGCACACA